TGTGTCACTGTCTTTCGATGATGCCACTTTCTCATTTTTTGTGTGTCGTCGTTGTGCGAAAGCACTCAGTAAAATGCCTTAACTCGGAGAGGCTTCAGAAAAATGGGAAAAGTTGTGAGTTGTGAGTTGTGTGTGTCGCTTTGTTTCACTTATGGCAATGGCTTCTTTGGCGCCGATCCTCTCTCTCTCTCTCTCTCTCTCTCTCGCTCACTTTCGCTCTTTCTCTCTTACTGCCTCTCTCCGTCTCTCCACATCATTTCCGTTAAATTGAAAACTCAATCATATTCTGTTTCATTTTGTCATGCAATGTGCTTGCTCACTTGCTCGTTTGCTCGCAGTCATAATGGCAAAGAAAAGAATGATAAAAAATTACATCTATATTGCATTTGAATCATAGCAATTCATTACATACAGTCATTCATTCATTCATTCTTTTCGTTTGGTTTATGTTCACATTTTTTTCTATGCCCATTTTCATGGTTGTGGTACTGCTGTCGCTGACTGTCTTTTCTTGTTCTTCTTCTTCTTCTTCTTCTTCGGTGCGCTTTTATTCTTTTATTATTTATTCAATATGTATTGTTGTGAAGCCGCATCAATATTAGTTGCTGTGAATAAAAATCATTTCAATCATAAACTTTATGATTTTTGCATATTGCCATAATGTTCTTTTTCCGTCCGTTCGTTCGTCCGTTCATTTATTCGTTTCGCTTGATGTCTCCGTTTTTTTGTTGGTGGGCTGTCATCCATTTGGATCGGCATTCAAAATCGAATCCACAGTTATTTTTCATTTTCTTCTTCCTTCGTTTTTTGACCATATCGAATCCACAAATTAAAAACAAATCGTCTAAGTTAATCAAATTAAAGAAAAGTTCTTCAGAGAAAAAAATGCCCATAAAAAGAACGACTGGGGGAGGAAGAAAAAATTAATTGAATTTTTCGGCATTTTCTTTTACACGACACACGAACACACGGCAGAAGGCAGAAAGCAGAAACCAAATCATACTCAAACATATATACACATACACACTGTCCCCCGAAAATCACTGATACACTTTTGTTTGGTTGCTGTTCATCTTTTGTTCTCGCCACTCGGCGTTCACGACTGTGCTCCATACATAAATAAACATGTATGTAAATTGTGCCATAAAGATCGTCCCGATAAACAACAACGGAAAATAAAGCAGAAAAGAAACGGAAATGGAACGAAAGAGAGAGAGAGAGATAGAGAGAGAGAGCATGCGAGCGAGCGACCGAAAACGAAAGAAAGAGAAAGAAAGAAAGTACAAAAAAAAACTTAATGGAAAAAGTACGTGAATGTATGAGTTGTGTGTGTGTGCAAAAATGGTCGAATAAAAAAAACAACAACGACAACAACAAGCAAAATCAAATGAAAAGTCCAAACAACAACCATAAATGTCTGACAAGGATTGAGTGTGTGGCGGTAGTAACAAACAAACGGCAAACCAATGAAAGAAAGAACAAATGACCGGAGAAGCAAAACAACAACAAAATCCCATGCTAAAGTGACCGAATAACAAATGAGAAATTTCGTTTTTTTTCCGCTACGTATGGAGATTCTCGGGCCGAAAAGAGTGTACAAGAGTACATACATTTATGGTTTCTTTTTTTTAACGTTTTCGTGCACCGCGAATTCCGCATTTTTGCACAAATGTTCACATTAGCGATGACATTTAATTTTTGCCATTTATTTTTCTAAACGCAAAATTAAATTACCTCTGCACGACGCCAACAAGGCAAAACACGGAGAAAAAAATTTCTTCCTATGATCTCATTTGATGCGTATGCGTGTGTGTACGATAAATTGAGAACAAGAGAGAGAGAGAGAGAGAGAGAGAGAGAGAGAGAGAGAGAGAGAGAGAGAGAGAGAGAGAACAGAGTGCGAGAAAAAAAATCGCTCCGAAAAAAATTGGCGAATCCGTTAGGTGGAGAATTAATTATTGACCTATTTCTCCATTTGAAATATTATTCCTACGAATGCGGTCCATCGAATTTTCAATTAGATTTTCAATTATTCGTTTAAAATTGAATGTATATGGATGCATCGGCATACATATATATCCCTCGAAATGACGATTGACTGCTTACGCACTTTATGGTCGCCCAGCAGCGGTAGCAGCAGTAGCATATCGAATTCGAAATGCTCGACGAACCAATCGAACGAATGCAATTGTTTGAGAATTAATTAACATTGCATATGTTACCGCTATCAATACATAAATAAACACCTTTTTAATTAATGTACCAATGAGGTAGAATGGGATACAGATGCAGCGAAACGAATGAGTGAGAGAGAGAGACACACAACAGCGAACTCACACAGAAAAATCCGTAATAATAATAATAATAGCCGTACTCAACGAATAAAATGGGAAATAAAATAAAATCGCTGACATTTATTTAGTTTAATCGGAGATTATTGCTTGAAAATCGGTTTTATTTATCATTTTACATTCGTCCCAGGTATATAGTATGTACATAATTTTCGATTCAATAAATTTGCTTTATTCATTTTATGGAATGAGTTTGGGGTGCTGCACCCGATCACCTGCCTCTCTCTCTCTCTCTCTCTCTCTCTCTGTGTGTGTGTGTGTTGTCTGGCCTACCCTTCCAATACTCACTCCAACTTCGCCATCGATCACACACCGATTTATCAACAACATAAATGCAAACAAATTGGTGCGTGTGGCTAAACTGACTATTGTACGAAAAACACAGAAAAAAGAACCGTTTTTTTTCGAGAGGCCATCGTGAATTCGTGTGAATGAGGTAAAACTGCTGGAGTGCAATGTTTTACATTGTATTTAGGGATTTAATAAGAGAATCGAATATATGTGGAATTCAGTGTCGTTCGTCCATCGACTGGTTCTCTCTCTCTCTCTCTCTCTCTCTCTCTATCTCTCGCTTTCGCTCGCGTTCTGCATTTCAAATGGAAAGCGAAAGTTTTCCATTGCAAATCAACCGCACGAAATGGCGTGAATACGGCACACACACGGCAAACACACATTAGAACAATGAACCGAAATGGTGAGCGAAAGACCATAATCACTGGTGTATGTGTCCAGCCATTTGGAAATGAATAAGTGGAAATGCATTCCGTTTCGGGTGGCTCAATTTTGTTTGGCATTGTGTGTGCGTGTGTGTATGTGTGTGTATTATGGGAATTATGTGTTTTATGGCAATTCCAAAGAAATCCGATATCGGTTTCGCGAGTGCTATTCAATGCATATAAGAGCGCCCAAACAACAGATAGTGGCTTCGGATGAATCTTTTTGATATGCAGAATGATTCAATCGATATTTTATTTACATCAAAATATCATTACTTTGTATCTTGTGTGGAGCAAAGAAATGGCGAGTAACGAGTAATTTTTTTTTGCAACTCTTTGACATTCAACTCCATGCGGAACTGCTCTTCCAAACATCAGTTTCGTTTCGCTTCGTATTTTTTCATAATATGAATCATATCCATACTTGCTCGTCTTATTTTGTTAACGGACCTTTTCGACGGATTCAAAATTCAATAGAACAAATATGCGCGCTTATTCAAAATACATTATGGGACATGCAAATATGATGGCTGTGGGTCTGCGCGAGAGGGTGGAAGACGGTAGGTGGTTGATGGTGGTGGTGGTGGTGGTGGCGGCTCGTTTTTTTAAGCATCAAACATTTGTGATGAATAATATATATACGATTTACATGCCCCAATAATCCAAATACATGGCTTATTTATGATAATATTAAGTAATATTTAAGAGCTCCGACTCGCACAGAGAAGCTGAACTCCAGTCACTGACAGTAGCAGCGATGATATCTGAGCATCTTGTAAAAGCATCATAGCACCTTGTGCCTTGCTAGTGCAACTAATTCGGCAACCATGCCTCTGCCTCTCTTTCCCATTCACTCACTTTCTTTACTCCATCCAAGTCGTCTTGTTCATTGCTTTTCTGTCTGTCGCTGTCGCCGTGCGTTGGCAAACCTAATCTCATTCACTCTGTGTTTATGTTTATTATAACTCGATGTTCGCCGATTGATATTGATATAACATGCATGTGCCATTGATTTGCTTTTACTTCGAATTGCCGTTCGATGTGTCTTTTTTAGCACTACATGAAATGTAGAGCTACTAATCTGCCCTTTTTTTTCTAAATACTTTTTGAGTGATGAAACAAATTATGGTGATTTTGAATTTTATGCTCATATTTTTTATTAAATTTAAAACAGGTGCACTGACGACAAATAAGTGCATAATATCTCAAAGCGCCAATCAAATTTTTATTATCAAATGTTGTTTAAAAATTACATTAATTTTTCGTATAATATTTTCTGTGTCTTGAACAGAATTAAAGTGATTTTAGATTCTATGCTCATATTATTTATTTAATTTAAACCAAAGGCAGTATATTTCAAAAAAGAAATAAAACCAAGATCTTGTAATTCAGTTTGCAAATAATTATATTACTTCAAAGTTACTTTGATGAAATACATTTCATGTAGTGCGCCAAAAAATAGTTTGTTGTGAAACAACAAAATAGATTAAGTAACTGAAAACTCAAGAACGCTGAGCGGAGCAAAGCGAAGTTCTGCGGTCTTGTTTTCTCTTCTACTTATCCCCATTTCCAATCCCATTGATTTGTGTTTTTTTCCGGTTCAGGCGCCCCTTTTTAGCTTTCTTCTTTTCTCGCTCTCCCTCTCTATTTCGATAATAAATATGATTTATCGCATCATCGAATATTCACTGCGTTGGCTGCTTGTTTTTTTTCCTTTCTTTTTATCTTCGAATGGTATTGACCGAAATGTAATTGGTAGTATGGTTTTGCGTTGGCCCTACATCGTTGGCACACTGATAACAATTCCAAAAAAAAAAACTATTTTCGATTCAATGTGTCCATTTGGTCCATTTTTCTCCACATCACATTTGACAGGTTACCGAAATGTTAATGCATTGATTATATAACACTTGTTTTCTGTTCTTCCTTTCAGGTGCGATAGCGTCACCACGATATCAAGAGAACTTTTTCGATGAAGACAATCATTCGCCAGGATTTTTAACCATCGGCCAAAAGTACAGCATTGCCATCGGTGAGTAGAGTCTTTCTTCCAAATTGACTATCTGTTATACGATTGTAAATGATACAATATTAACAAAGCGAACAGATGAATTTAATGATTACGATTTCAATTGTATTTTTGGTTTAAAAAAAAACTATGTACAATATTCCATATTCTTTTATTGCTATCTAATAATTCTATCTAGGTTCGACTGTTGTGTTGCCGTGTAAAATCAACGAAACAGGTAAGGATTAAGTGCAAACCTGGTATTAGACCATTCCGTTGTCATCACCGCCATCCGTTTAACACAAAAGTTTATATTGTCATTGTTCATTACAGAGCACACGGGTCATGTGCTTGCTTGGAAGCATGGAATCGCTGTGCTAACGGCTGGCGATGTTAAGGTAACGAGTAATCCGCGCATTCGGTTGATGCCACCGCAGCAAGGGATCATCGATACATCAGCCCGTGCATCGCATTCAAACAGCTACAATTTGGAGATTCAAAATGTGCGGATGACCGATGCCGGTGACTATGCTTGCCAAATTGGATCCATCGTACCCAAGGAAATTGTTCACAGCTTAGAGGTTTTGGGTAAGTTGTTTGTTGGCAAACCATCTTTCGGGCATTTGTGTGTTCTTCCTGTGTCGTTGGCTCTTCGCAGAGCTCAAGTTAATGGACATTTAAATGAAAATGTACATGTTCCTCGTTACAGTGCCACCAAAAATCGATTATGTCGCACCATCAACCCGTGTGGATGTTCCGAAAGGTGCATCAATTAAACTGGAATGCCGTGCAAGTGGTAAGTTGGTCGCTTTTTCTAGTTAGCTCTAGGCATTTTGTAGAGTTCTTGATCAAATTTCAACATCTTTTCGACAAAATATCGAATTAAACTAATGACATCCCACATATTTTACTCCCAAAAAAAAATCGTGAATTAGGAAACCCTTTGCCAAAGGTGTATTGGACTCGCAAAGTGAGTATCAAATTGAAATTAAAACATTTTTTGCGAACGAACAAGAGTTTGGTGTCTTTATCTCTCTCTGCGTCGGCCTTCTTCGAAATTGGGTGCGAAATACGAACTGCTGAATTCACAATTTCGCAAAACTTTGCCGATGGAAACAACACAAAGATTATGGAATTCAGGTCGCCTCCCATGTGTCTCCCTTCAACACACACACACATATTTGAATATTAAACAAACAAATCTTGGTATTTAATTTGCATACATTCATTTGTCAGTCGGTCGCAATCAGTCGAAGGTGTATTTCGTTCATTAATTTTTATCGAGACATGTTGTTATATGTGCGCCTGAACGACGCAAAACAATGCACGGGTGCTCAGTTGCTCACTCACTCGCCCATTCGTTTACATATATCGACGTCGACGACGACGGCGGCGGCGTTTGAGGAAACGAATCAAACACTGCCGGCAGAACACATTTCAAAAATTTCAGTATAATTTTACATTCACTCTCTCTCCCTCTGAGTCGGTCGTCGTTTTGTGTGGCATGGTTATTTGTTTGGCGTTCGTTCGTTCGTTCGCTCACGCGTCCCGCACCCACCCATTCGGTTGGTGCCTCTTGCTATATCTCTTTTTTTTTATTGTTTTAATCTGTTCCGTTTGACTGTGCTCCAATCTCTGTGTGCCTTTTTCACTTGAATCCTTTTTTCTTCGAATTTCCTTCCTGTTTACTGTTTGCTTGTCTATTTTTTTTCATACCCATTCATAATAGATAAGCGCTTTCCGTATTGATGTATGTATACCCAAATAACATAGATTCTAATGGCATAGTGAAATGGAACGGCTTTCTCTCTTTTTCCCTTCCTCTCTCTCTCTGTCGCTCACCCGTTCGCTCTTGTTTTCCTTCCAGTCATGCCGTGGAATCGACGGCCAAAATGTGCTACGACATTTCACGATGGTGACGATAATGACAACAGCCAGAGCGCAATAACAACAACACCAACAACAACAACAAGCGCGCACAATCGAAAGCCCGGCCACAAAAACCCAAAGCCGATGAATAAGGAGGCGAATGAACATGATCGAGTGAACGTTGCATATAATCAGAATAAATTTTCATACATCAAAATATGTGTGTACAATGTACATATTGTTATTATTTTCTTCCTCTAGTTCTATATCCCTTTCTCTTCTCACGATCTCCTCGCTCCCGTTTGCTGTCGCATTTGCTTCAGTGTTGCCGCTTGACTTGGGGCTTGTGTGTGTGTGCAATAGTGAAACAGAGACAGAACGACAGAGAGAAAATAGATGAATGGGAGAGCTTTTGCATTCCATTGCTTCACGGCAATCAAACAGTGACTGTCACCGCTAATTTTCTGATTCGCTTCATTATTTACATTGGCTTTGATGCGGTTGGACTGGTAATTTCGTTCTGCAAAATGTAATTTCTTCACTGAATCAGCCACTGAATTATAAGCACCTGAAATGAGAAATGCCACAGTAGCAGCAGGCAGCGACAGCTTATATTATCCATAGCTATTGAGGTTGAATATCGAATATGATCTCTATTCCCTTACGTTCGTTCGTTCGTTCATACGTTCCCCATTCGTTTACATTCGTTTAGAGGCTATTGTATTTTTGCATTTTGGCCAAAAACCTCGAGGTTCACCAGGCTGCACAAACAAAATAACGATGTTTGCCGAATCGGGTTTGCTCTGCGCCCATTAAAGTAATTGCAAGACATCGTTTCGTTTCAATCATGAAATTAAAAAGCACACGACTCTTGTTTGTTTTTCGCATCGTTCGTCGTAGCATTTGACTGCCTAATATACAATCCATCACTATGACAACAATTTTCTAACGGGAACATTTTCCCATTTCGCTTCTTCTTCCCGTTTTTTTCTTTCTTCTCAATACGATTTTGTTTGGTTTCAACAGAATAATGTGCTGCCAAACGGTGAGCCAAACTCGACCAACAACATTCTAGAGATGATGCACGCAGATCGACACACCGTTGGACATTACCGATGCACGGCCGATAATCGAGTTGGTCAACCCGATGGTCGTGATATTTTTGTCAACGTTTTATGTAAGTATCGCTCAATTAAACAACAAACGCATGCAAATTGATTGGCTGCGGCAGAAAAATAATGCTTTTAATATTTTGCATGGAAAAAAAAACATATGAAAATATTCGAAAATCAGAGCACAAAAAATCGGATTCAATTTAATTTAAATGTTATATAAAATCAAATTGAATCCTCATAAAGATGAATTGCCTTTGAATTTTGTTGACTGGATGGCTGGATGTTTTTTTTTTTTTGACTTTCCACACAAATTAAATCCGAACAGAAATTGAAAGGAATTTCTCGATGTTTGTTATTCGATGTGCAATTAGCGTGTGTGTGGCTTTTGAAAAAAAAGCTTTTTCATGTTTTGAGCATTCGACATACTTTATGACACCAGTTGCACACATACTCACACAACGCTCTCGTAAGTTCATTGTTTTTCAACGGCACCAATAACAATGATAGTGCATTTTTATTGCAGTTTTTTGTCATTTCGTATTTTTAGTTTACGTTTGTGTGTTGATTGCTTGGCTTGTTAGATTGCTTCTGCAGCAGCAGCATCGAATTTCCGACAATAAAAGCCAATGAATACTTAAACACTCCCTTTCTCTCTCTCCCTCTCGAGCAAATGCAATAATATCCACGAAGCAATCAAGGCTTCCATTAATTTTGCATATATGCTTGACATTTTCTAACTGACACATTTTGAAAAGTGGTTTTTTGCATTGAAGATGCAATACCGGCGGCGGTGTATATTGATTGGTGTTCCAAAAATGCACAATCTAATTATGGAGACTCTTTGACAATGTTGGCGTTAAAATTTTGTTTCGAAAATTGAATTTTCATCATAAATAAAAGCGACCATATTCAAGTGAAACGAAAGTGAATTTTGGGACGAGTGAACAGGTTATTAAACGATAAAACAATTCACTTTATCACTTTCGTAAACAACCCGGGCTCTTTTGCTCACTCACTCACTCTTGCTTAGTGCCGAACATAGAACAATGTATGATGCATATTATCTACATGTGACACGCCTATTCTCCTGGATTTACATGTGATTATCTCGCACTTAACCTCGTGTGGCATAATTTCATAGATTACCGTCACCAGAGTCGAGCTCCGATGATGCAGGTGCGCTTGTTGTGTGCGTGTGTGCGTATGCGAGAATGAGTATGTGTTTGTGTGTCAGTTGTGTGTCAGTTGTGCATTGTTCAATGTGCAACCCATCGAAAGTGCTCCAATTATGGTATTTTAATGCGTTGGATGATAAAATGGGCCCGGTTGTGTCCAGTCGATGTTCATTAATCGTTCAAAAACTCATGAAATAATCACGGCATTATGGCCATGAAGCGTGAATTATTTGTTTAGAATTGGGGGGGGGGCAGGGAATGGTGCGAATAGCCAATGTGTATTGAAATCGAATTGAATCGAAATATCAATTGATTATAGGCTAGAAAGTGTGCGTATTGTGTACAGATCGACCAATCGACCGACATAGCACACATACACACACGCACCCTCATTGAGAGCCTCCAGCATTCCTCCAAATAAAATACGTCGGAAGTATGATACATTTGATGCGATGAGATTTAATTTCTTATGCTATTATTTATAGATGCGCCGGAAATTGAAGTCGAGCGTCCATTTGTGCACACTGGTGTTGGGCATGAGGCTCAATTGATTTGTGTCGTACACGCTGAACCACAAGCTCATGTCATTTGGTACAAGGAAACCACTCAAATTGGAACAACCGAACAGCTCTCACAACAGGTACGAAATACACTATACATGGGTGTATACACCAGAATGCTCGAACAAACAAACGAACGGTTTTGTTCGGTTCAGTAATATTTTAGAGCTGGTTGATGAACAAAATGTTGACCATATTTGATAATCCAACAATGGGATTAAAAGTCAGATTGTTAAAAGTGGTGGGCATTTTGTTTGTCAGCAGCGGACAGTGGCATCGACTGCGGCAACGTGATGGTGTATTCCATCTCGTCCGTATGTCGGTCATTGTTGAATCATTCATTTCGAAAATTATCGAATCGAATCGTTGATTTACAGAGTCGCGGCAATCGACACACGCTCACCATTCGAAATGTCACCTACAACGATTTGGGAAATTATACGTGCCAAGCATCGAATAACTTGGGCAAGGATCGTGCATCACTCACTCTCAGCGGAATTCCATCGGTTTGCACATTTGATTCGGTTAGTACATATAAATGTCGATTGTTTTTTTGCCAATAATTCTATTTTGCCGAAATGCAAAAGACAAAAGAGAATCAATGATGTTTGATGATGACGAATGTATCGTTTAATTTTACAGCCAACACTCAGCAATCATCGTGATCAATACAATATAACGTGGGTGGTGCAGAGTTATGCACCAATTCTCGAATATCGATTGTTCTACCGAAAGCAGACAGCCAACGGAAATGTGAATCCAACCAGTAACAACGATGTCATCCACTACGAAAAATACGTATGTATCCCTATTCTTTGTTTCTTTTTTGTTCATCTTCTCTCTGTAAATACTCGAAGCTCTCGACTCTTCCCTCTCCATGTGTCTGTGTGTGTGTATATCTCTGATTTATCACATACACACTACGCTCAACGAACCCGTTTCCATTCATGACACACCATTCGGCTAACAAGCTTCTCGTTCTCCCGCTCATTTTTTTTCTGTTCTGGTTATTATTATTGTTGTTCACAAAACTATTCTCGTACGCGTCGAGTCGACGACGATGACGACAACGACAACAACAGGGCCGGTTTTTTGCCACTTTGAAATCAACAAATGGTGTGACATGTGATAAATAAAAATAAATTTCCATGTAAACAACAAATAACTTTTATTTGACCACATTTTCACCATTTTCTCCATTTCACAATTCGTCGTTGTCGTTGTCGCTGTCGTGTGTTGCATACACATTTGTGTATGTGAGTATCTCTCTATGTGTGATTTCAATTATCCAAAACACCCTTTTTCAATTTAGTTTTTCATGCAGACAGTAACAGTCACATACACACACACGTTTTTTGATTCCATTTACTAATTTCTGCATAATGAACACAAATTAAGACAAAAAACCGGAAAACAAACGTCGCTAACGCAAATGAAAAGCGTGCAAAACGGTGGTGGTGGTGGTGATGGCATTGACGACGACGACGACGATGTCGACAAAAGAGGACACAAGATGCACATTGCATTCAATGTTGCTTGTGGCACTTTTTATCCCATCCCCTCCATCAACCGGCCCGTGTGCCACTCGAGTGCTCTTTCTCTAGTCCTCCCCCTTTGGTTCCAGCAAACTGCAAACTGTAAATTTGTTTATCTACCGAGGATGATTCTCTCTAATATGCGCACTTTTTATGCGTTATTATTTCTCTCTTTCACTTCATGATTTCTGCTACTGCTGCTGTTTTTTTTGTTGTTATTCCTGCTGCTGCTGCTGCTGTCGTAGTCGCTGTTATTTCTCATACATTCTCTCTCTCTCTCGTTCATTTTCAGCCAAACAATCACAATAATTTTCTATCAACGTCACAATTTCATGGCGTATACGAGCGTCACGCCGCTGAATGGGAAAATATTGTTATTCCGCAAATGCATCATCAGTATAGTAATCAACCAATTCATCCGTATCAACACATGACAAATAACCACAATTCACGTCACAGAATGTCATACCTAATTAAAAGTCTAGCACCATCATCAAACTATGAGGCACGGGTACAAGCACGCAACGATCATGGCTGGAACAAACTTTCGAGCATTTTTCATTTTTCAACACGAGCGGAAGGTAAGATTGCTTCAACCATTTTATATCTCGATTATTATTTTGAAGAAAAAAAATTCTCTCCTCTTTGACTTCTCCTTTTTACTTGCTATTATTTGCTGTTTGCCTTATGCTTTTTCGATTATTTCTTTTTTTTGTGCATATATGACGCACCTACACACATACACACAAAGAAAAAGGTACGCAATGCTCGTTGCTAGTGTTCAACAGAAACTGTTCTCCAAAAAAAAAATCATAGAATACGTACACATGTTTTGCAAGCAAAAATATTTTTTGCAAACTGTGTGCAACCCATTAACGCAGTGCGCGAATGAGAGAGAGAAAAACAGCACCCGACACAGAAACTTTCTCTCCATTTTCCAAACGGCAAATGTCGAAATGTATGATACATGCACATGAGATGCTGAAATCGTAAATGCTGAATGTTATTTCCTTTTGCATTTGTAGCGAGTTTTTTTTAATGCTATTTCTCTCTATCGTCGAATTCAGTTTGTGATTCCTTGCCGTTTTGGGCATACTCAGAACAAAGCAGATTAGGATTTCGGAGAAAGCAACAGGGAAAATGTTTCGAATAATTCAACATAGATTGCTTTGTGTGCGCGAAACTTGTGTTAAAAATAGAAGTAGATTTGATGGAAAGCAAGGAAAACTAACGTTTTTTTACAGTATCCACGGGAACTTTGTCAGAAAATTATATTTTGAAAATGTTTTTTTTTTCAAATTCTCAGAATTCATTCTCATTTGAAATCAAGGTAGATGAAACATTTTATTTGATTTCTTTAATAAAAACTTCGTTTAATTCTAGAAAATGACTTCTTTGTAGAAGCGAAGGCGAAAATTCCGCATAATAAAAAAAAATCGCTCGATCATTTTGATTCTGAGGATTTCATTTATCCTCCTCCGGTTTTATTTGGTTTGTGAATAAATAATTTCATATCGTGTTTTCCTTTTTTTTCGGTATAATCGTATAAAGCAAGGAGGAAAAAGTGCATTTTATATGCTCATAATGGATTTAACATGAAATTAGTGTCCGGCTTCTTATTGCTTTCCTGGGATTTTATCTCTGGGAAAACGTAACTCGTCTACTGTCGTTCTTCGTGTGTCTTTTTTTGCTTCGTTATTAGTAAGGTTTACAATATTGGTATGTATGTGTGAGTTGGACTTTTGGAGTGTGGTGCAAAGCATAAGTTTATTTTCCAAAGTTATGACACGATGTTAATCACATTTTGGTTAGGCACAAAGTGCCATTCGAATCGTCGGCGAAATAAATTGTAACTTGTTCATTCCTCCGGTCGATATGTTCGACGACAATATTTCGACTAAATCGAGACGATTCACTTCGTTCGACACTTTTTTTTTCTTCTTATGTGTATGTGTGTATGTCTGCACGTTTTTTATTCCCGTTATTTATTTAAGCCTTTTTCTTAAGTTATGACATTCATTTCACATAATTTACCTAAATTGTACGTTACTTTTTTTCTGTCTCCTCTGTATCTATTTTGAAACATACATAGACTTGGAAATGGAACCATCTGCACAGCCAGCCGTAGCTAAGACTGCCGGTGTATTTGATAAAGATGCCCACAGCCGTTCATCAGTAATAGTCAAATCGTTGACCAAAAAATTCTCCATTTTCATATGCGTTTTGAGCATAGCACTCTGCTTATGATCCATTTAACTAATTTTCATAAATCTTAGAGTTGTATAAATTTCGCTGAGAGAGAGAGATAGAGTGGAGACACAGAAGGAAGAAATGAGCAAAGAGATGAAAAAAAAATCAAGTTGAATGGATGCCATCATGTGAAAAGAAAAAAAACTGTTTGCACACAGGAATGAAAGAAGCAAAAGAAAAATTGGTCGTCTGTTCTGCAGAATTTATTTCGATACAAAGCACTTTAGACACTGGCATTCTTTTACTTTATGAACGACAAAAAGGAAAATCAACTAAACGAAGATTTAATATTTAGTGCGCTTTATTGTTTTATGTCCGCAACAAGAACAAAAAAAATGGTTTTAAATCAGCCATATATGTATGCTTTACTCATCACAACACACATTTGTATCGAAATAAATGAAAACGAAGCTTGAAGAGAACCGAAGCAACCCACTTGACATTTTTCCTGTTTGCAAACAACCAAAAAAAAAACACACACACAAACACAAACATATACAAAGCGACATACAAGAGGAGCCCAAACAGAGTGCACACATAAATTCAACCAGGATTCCACTAAATATAATCAACAAAGTAACTATAATTTAGAGTTAAACTTTGATTTTTGTGTAGCTGAAAAAAATGAGAGAGAGAGAGAGAGAGAGAGAGAGAGAGAGAGAGAGCGAGAACGGAAAAGGTCATATTTTTGGCTGATGGAGGATTTGAAGAGAGGGATGGTGAAGAGAATTTTGTATAAAATTTAGATTGAAGCACATTGAAAATACTCAAAGGTAGAAGCTAGCAATGTCCTGTGGATGAAACAACATCAAACAATCTTTGGCCAACTTGGTTGCTGTGTGTGCCTGTGCATTTTCCGGGTGCGCCTACGAAGAAAAAAACATGAAACACAAACGAAGCATATTGGAGCCAGAGGTCCCAGGAGTGCAAAGAGAAAACTATAGAGGGATCGCAAAGACAATTTGAAATTTGCTATCTTTAATCGATATTTAAAAGAAATGAAGATAATTTTTTTTCTGACTAGTCGCCACTTAAATTAGCTAAGACTTCACACAAAAATGTATATTTTGATTTAGGCTATATGATAGGTCGCTTTTGCGTACAAACTGTTTCGGTTTTCTGCCCATGAATATTGGACAAGTAGCAAAGTGCAATTGAACTGAAAACTGCTTTGCTTCCCACCAAAAATAGAAACTATTTCAATTCAACGAACCGCTCTACCTGGGGAATTTTGACCAAAACATACACTTTGGCACAACTTTTCTCCCTGTGTGTCCAGCAGTTGACAGTTTTCGAAGATCATGAAAAAGTTTGCTAGATTTCAAGGAATGGGATTGGGTGTGTATGCTCTGAAGAACATTTTGAATAAGCTTTTTCACAGTTTCACAACCATGTGATAGATCTTAATGAACTGAAACTATTCGGCCATAAACTTGGTCTTAAAAACTTGCGTATAATTTTGTAGTCGAATGTTCATCGGCAGTGGGAAACATTTCTTACGCAATTTCTAACGACTATTAAGTTTATATATATATAAATGTCAGTGCTAATGTTTCTTTTTTCTGCATACGTTAAATGCACGTCAGTCTTTTCTTTTCATTTTTGCTACTAAAAAAATTTGAAAGTATTTAAAGAACTCTCACCTTTCTTTGAACAAACCAGATTGAAAATGTGACAGAGATTTACATTTATATTACACACATTTAAAAAGAGAAAAAAAAACAACAAATTATTTTGAATCGTTCAATATTAGGCACTTGGTATGCATCGATTTACTATTTTTTATTATCAAAAGAAAAGCAATTAATGTAAAATGAAATTAGTTTTGTTTCATTTCCCAAAAGAAAGAAAGAGACAGAAAATTTTCATACAATTTGAACGAATATATATAGTTATTTATCGAATATCCTTGAGGGAGAGTGAAAATGTTTGGTAAATGTTTCCAAAATTTAATTAAGATTTGCATCGAAATTTCTTGATTACGAAAGAGAACGAGAAAAGGTACGCTCAAGTCAAGATTCTCTCTGTGCATCTCTGCCTGATGATAAGGACGCGGAGGAGGAAGAGGAGGTGGAAACAAGAAAAGTTACACTGTGACAAGTTTTGGAAGTCATACGGTTCTATAAGTTATGTTTGTTTAGCAAAAAAAAAAAAAAATGTCACCAAATCAATTCTTTGATAGACACACCCACACCCACAAATACACATTCAAGCATTATAATGACCACATCATACTAAAAACGGGGAAAAAATGTTTTGTCGGCATTTCACTCGCGAGCGCGAGCGCGCCATAAAACTCAACCGAAAACCCTCTTTCGCTCGTAATCTACTACACATCAATATCAACAAGTTTTTATCGCATACTCGTCGTTTCGGTGTTTCTTCTCCCTTCTGTTTTGGAGATAACGAACCAACAACATGAGACCGAAAACAGCTAAGCAAAAAAAAACAACAAAAACAAATCACAGCATATTTTAAATAAAACGAAATTATACCAGAAAAAAACAACAACAAACTAAATGCCATAGAATTGATGTGACGGGAGCAAAAGAACAAAAAAAACAAACACACACATAAACAAAAACACTCTAACCAACGGAAAATTGTTTGACTTAAGTTGATATAAAAAAAATTTATTAGCGTAATCCCATAAAAATGGCACAATTATCAAGTTTTCATTACAAAATGGTATAGACATTAAGTTTATCAGCTGGCTTGACGAGGCCGAGTGGAGTGTGAGAAGGGGGGAGTAAATGTGTATGTGTGCTCTTCTTTCGAATTTTGGAGCGCACTTCGTAGCGATCAACTGACACACTGAGTAACTGGACCGCTCACTGACTCTAACTCATTCACTCGTCAACAATTTCGGCCAGCTGCTAAATTTCATGATTATTCGTAATTACAATTTAAGATTTAAGTAAATACTACACTCAAATTTTAAGAAGAAGAAGATGATGACAAAATAAAACACACACACAACCAAAAACCAGCAGATGCGAACCAAAGTTATGGATAAGAAATAATAACTTTATTGATTAGGACTTAATTGTATTTATCAAAAATGCATTTTTGTTGAAAGTGTTGCTGCCGCAATCCAGTTGCAGTAGCAACCAAATGCGATCTGAATGTACAACATTTTCGAAGAAGAACCAGAAGAAGAAGCAGAAAAAAAAGTTTTCCAGCTTTTTTTTAAACCACAAAAACCACTTTAAAGTGAAACAAAAGTTGTTTTCGGTGTAAGTAGTCGCCAGTTCCGCTAAAATCATTGCCCGTTTGCTCCACAAAATAGACACACACACACACACACACATACGAACACTCACCCATTTCGCTCACACATTTCGCTCTTTATTGATCCAAGTTGCAGTTCCTCACTTTCTGCCCATTCTGTAGTTTTCTTCAAATCGCTTTTTACCCGTATGTGTGTGTGTGTGCGTTACTTGTGTGCTGAACGATGACTTCGCATTCTGAAATGGAGTACTTTAAATCGCATTTGAAAGATATTTTCTTCCGAAGCTACGTAACATTAACAGAACAGAACAGAAACTGAATATTTAAAAAAAAAAAACACACACAACACGATATATGAGAGAACAAACATCTCGCAAAAACCAAAGAGAACAAAGAAAAAAAAATAGTAAAATTTGTCGAGAACATGTCTACAAACTCGACCTAATCGTACAATTTGTCCTAAATAAAAGTTTAATGAAATAAAGACAACAACAACAAAAAAAGCAGCAAAAACAGACGATTCACCAATGATTTTTAATGAAAGCATGACGATGGCTGCTACACAACAATACCAGGATAAGTATCAACACATACACAATGTGTATTTGTGTATGTGTCTCTCTAACCACGTGGAATTCTATCTTAATTTTTAGCAAGGGGCAAACCAGAATACCAAGAGTCAGCCAACTGGCGAAGAAAAAGATTGACGAAAACAAAAATGTGCAACAAAACAAACAACAAAAACTCACACACAAAAGAAGTATAGCCATCACGATGGTGATTCATTGCCAAAGCCACAATGAATCATTGCCAAGATTCGTCAAACAATGCACAATTCGACAGTGATTCAGTTTGTGATTTGTTCCTTGTGACCATTATTCAGTATGCTTACATGTTTTGCTATCGAAAGACTTTTGTGCATGTGTTTGTCTCTATTTATCTCGATTCCAACTTTCGGTATGTTTATCGAGCAAATAAACGGCACTTGAATCGCACACACCATGAATCGCTCGTAATCTTGACAATGTAATGAGCTAAATTGGTGCACTTCTCTCCTCTCGTCGTCGTCGTCGACACTGTTGTCGTTGCCGAGTTTGGATAACTGAACAATCTTCTAGGTATTCAATAACAAAATTAAGGATTAAGAAGTTTGAACACACACACACAAACACCAAAAGTCTTTGGCACACTTGAAAAGTCCATTTGTAAAGTGGTCACTCTCTGCTGTAACTGCACATAAACATCGGAACGTAATTTGCGTGCTGTAAACTTACTTGCAAGCACATCGTTTGAACTTGCCAACACACTCACATCAATTGCACACATACATAGACCAGCACATATATATCACTTGAATAATTATTATTAAATTAAACCATTTAGAACGTATTTTTCCAACTCAACTGACAATTGGTATTATGCAATGTTATCCCCTCACCCCCTCCCCCACATCCAACCTTGCTAACATCTCCTCCTTTGGCAAATCCATTCTTGGCATCAACTATTTGAGGTATTTTTGGAAATGCCTGTTCAATGTATGCATCTTATACAATGTTTTGATTGGGCATGTGCTGGATTGCACTGCAAAGTGGTTTGCTGCCAGCAGCATAGATACCAAAATCAACACAGGTTACTGTAAAATAAATACCATCAAATAAATTCCGAAAATTATAATAATATTTAGATATTCAATATATGGCTATAATATTTCTGGTATAAGCATTTATCAGACATTCGTTCGATTTTGCTCATTTTTTTTTCTAAGTTGGTAAATAGTTTGTTCTACATGTAGCACCGATCAAAAGCTTGACTATAATTGAAGAAAAAACTTTTTCAATGGAAATTTTATATATTTTGATTACGAGCAATTTTCAAGTATTTTCAAGCCCAGCGAAATATAGTGGAAAAATGGCACGAAGTCAAATGTATTTTTAAAAGATGATCAGTTTCCGAAAAATTTACGATTTGACACCGGAATGTATGAGTTTTTTTTTTCCAAAAAGAAAAAGGTGATTCATTTAATCGTACTTCGAATTTTGATCGGCAGATTCGTCTACGGCAGAAAGTTTAATATCAAACATTCTTGAATTCAATTCGGAATTATTGCTATTCAAACCTAAACCTAGGGGGTAAAATCATTCTTTTTCATCTTTTATATCCACACGCATCAAGTAATAACTTAGAAATTCAATGGTATACATGTAAATCCGAAATATCCATGTATATTCAACAATATTCATCGTGAACGACAAATGAATATTACTGAATATACAAAGATATGTCAAATTTACGTGTATACGTATGAAAAAAAATAGTAGTGAATCAAACCTTCAACCGTAAATTTGAACGATTTTGGTAGATAACGATGAATATTGGAACATTTTTTGACATTACAGTCTAATGAATATTATTAAATATACATAGATATTTGAGATTGACGTGCATACCAGTAAATTAGTGCAGATTGTATAGTCAAAAAATGTGCCAATATTCACCGTAATCCACCAAAATCTGCCAAAATCCTTCGAAAGTGGTTCAAATTTTCGGTTGAAGGTTTGATTCACTATTATTTTTATTTTTTCAGAGTTATTTGCGTTCTGCAAAATCGCGTGAAGCCCCTAGACCTAAACTTTCAACCGAAGAGCAAAGAGAAAAGAGGCAAATAACATGGAGATTTGTGAATGAAGATAAAATATGATGTGAATTTTACAGTGAGCATCAAATTTTTAGAAACATTCAATACTGGTCAATTAGAAATGTAAAAGAAAATTTAGCTTTGATTTTAAAATGGCAAAACGTTCTAATTTCTTGTTTATAGTAAGATGTTTTAATTTTCAATCAAATTCCAAAATCGTTGTCTTTTTTACAACAAAAATAACAACAACAACAATAAACATTTTAAGACCATTAATACCTTTCGGTGTATGGTCTGTTTCGAATAAGTAAATCAACCTCTAACAATTCTCCTCCAAGCAGTTCTATCTAAAGTTAATCTACTACTTGTCTTTTTTACTAAAAAAAAAATACAGATGTAAATGTACCTTAAATGAGAATTGTGAAACCCGAAGGCAAATGAAATAACTGAAAATGATTCAAAATGAAAGTGACATTGAATCTATGTTCCGATAGAGGTCGCCATTTGCATCCGTGAAACCATACAAATGCCTCGTCTTTTAATCGGTGTTGATGATTCGCTTGGGATCAAAAACGAGCCAGCTCAAAATTTTGTATTTAAAATTAAAAAGACGAGAATTTCAATGAAAACTTAATTGAAAGCATTCAAGTCGTGGAATTTTATCATCTTTTGAATTTAAATACTAATTTAATGTTTATTTTGGAATGGATTCATTTCCAAAACCTGTCTACTCGCCTCCACATGCATGTGCAGTGCATCATATATGCGGACTACCTGGGAAATGTGGTGAGCAAAAGCCAGTCAACAGTGGTCGTTGAGCCGATTTTGACAGTTTCGGGCGATGCGAATCGACGAAAGAGCGAATACGAGAGACATTGTCATTAGTCATGACGGCTGAATGTGTGTAGACTTTTGGGATTGCATTTAATGTGTCATGGCGTCTTCATATCGAAACTCTCTCAACACACAGTATCAACTGTATATAGCATAGAGACGGTGTATGAGTAAGAGTGTGTATAAGAGAAGACAAAAGTTAAAGAAGAAATATCAGGCTCATTTGCGAAACTACACTTTTTCATCTGTAGTCGCAGTGTTTTTAGTCGTTCCGCGGGCAAAAACCAAAGTTCACGAAAAAAACAAAACCCGAAAACACAAGAACAAAAAAAAATAATTCAAAAATCGATTGGCCAAATGCAAATCACACTGGTGGAATCGTGAGCGTTTATTAGATTTCAATCAACAAACAAACAAACCAACCAACAAAAAAGACATTGAATTGAGAGATAGAGAGGAAGAGAGTAATTGTAAATGCGGTGAATACGAGTTCGAGGGCTTTGGTATTCCGTAGTATACATTGTATTACACTCAAGAATTTCTAACAAGTCGAAGTAAGTAAGCAAAAATTAAAAACGACAACAACATTGGAACAACAGAAAAGTGTATTATTCAGTCGCGCCACGAAAAAAAAAGAAAAAAAACACACACAACCAGCAACAACAATATTGTCGTCGTCGAAACAAAGAAGTATATAGTCTCAACACTTATACAAGAGCACCGACTAGAGATTCTATCGAGAGAACAGAGTTGAGAGAAGTAAAACAGAGCCCGCGACCAAACTTAGAATTCGAGAGCCCCAACAAAAAATGATACATCTCGTTAGTTAGTTGTTTCGCATCGTATCGCATCGCATCGCATATTCATCATCAAAGTTTTGTAGAGCCATCAGCATAGGAATATTGTGTATCTTTGACTACTGCTGCTTCTGCTGCTGCTGCTGCTGCTGCCACTGCTACTGCTACTATTACTGTTGATCATCTCGTCGCGCTCTTGTTTTTGCCATTGTTTAGAAATAGTTGTACGATTTCTCGTTCATTTGTGTTATTTTTGTTGAACGTGTAAACGCTCCCCATATTTTTGTGTGAGAATTTTTTTTCCTTCTCTCTAGTTACATTGTTTATTCGCATCGTGTATATTATTATTATCAACTGCTATACATATTGGCTTCGTATAGTTTTTTTTTATTGTTTCTTTCATCGTGTTTTCGCGTTTCGGTGGAATTCACGCACGTTTGGCAGATACGTTTCAACGTTTTGTACACAAAATAACAGCAACAGAAACCACAACAACAACAACAAAAACTACTATAAAGAATCTGCTTGGAAGTCGTGGACATTCTTCTCTTCCTATATGCATGCATACATTTCTCATTGTGTCAATTAGTTGAAAAAACAACACGTCGTGCAAATTACGTTTAGACTTTAGATCACATCGATACAAAATTTAGTGCAAGGATCTTGTCAAGATTCATTGAACAATTAACGAGGCGAATCGTGTGTGTGTGTGTGTGTTTTTTTATATCCAACAAAATCCACTTGATTTTCTCGGCTCTATCTGCTTCCAAAGTTGAAAAAAATTCGATTGTGTGACAAAACGAGGAATGAACAACACAAACTCATCGACAACAAACCACAATTTTTGTTTCGTTAAATAATACTCGCAATTGAAATCGCACAAAGAAAAAGAAAAAAAAATTATTACGAAGACAGCAGAAAATTTATTACACACATATTAAAAAAATAATAATATTGCGGCCATTGTGTATTCGTCTATTTATGAAATAAAAAAGAAACCACACCGACCAAGTGATTGTAATAAAAAATTAATTTGATTGATTGGGAATATTTATTCGTGCGCACCGTGCATAATTATCAATTGAAGTGAATCAGCCCCACCGTCAATCAGTCAAATAGCCGAGTCAAGTGAAAGCATATATATATATATATATGTGTGTGTGTGTACGTGAAATTACAATGGAGTAATAATTGATTTGATGCTGCGATAAAAACTGGAGTATTTTTAAAAATATTGATGAAGCTAGAATTTCGAAGCACCCTTCGTGTTTGAGACCATTCTAAACGCATTTTCAAGCAGGCACTGCCACCACCGACCAACGAACAGCCAACAACAACAAATAACCCATACGACCGTATGCAGCGTGCAAATGTGTGAATTGAGTGTCTCGGTCCAGCAACTCACTTCCGCAGAACTACCGATAAGTTAGTGTTTTATTTTTAGGAAACAGCAAATACCGCCAACATCCTAGCAATGACTCAATGATGCTCATTTTCTCTCTCTCTCTCTCTCTCTTTTTGCCCACTATTTGTCATTTTAGATTAGAGCTAACGAACAGAAACAATAACTATCATCAAATATCCCGGTGGTCATCCCGGTCGCTTCATCCATAGCCAAAACACTTGCCTGTACACGATTAACCGACAACAAAAGACGACGACAAGCAATATTATTGAAATTAGCGATCAGAAGGAAGTGACGACAAAAAAAACGCAGTATTTTCAGTACAAGCAATATTGTTGCCTCTTAATCTTCGGTTTCCCAACACATTTAATTCAACATTTCACTCTAACACACGCTTCTCCCATGTTCTTGATCCAGAGTACAACTTGAAAAAGAAAAAAAAATAGTTCAACAACACAGTCCGTCATCAGGATTTTAATATTTCCCACTGCCGACAACCAAACGAACAACTCTATACACACACCTATACGAAGTAGAACAAAAACAATAACAAAAGAAATCAACTAAACAAAATCGTTGCCTTACTTCACCTTCGATTTCATTTGACTGCATGAACTAAATAAATAATAGTTAGCAACATCGTAAAAACAATTCCGTTTTTCGGGGGATACTACGTACAGCAGCTGCTTAAAATAACAACAAGAACTCAATCGAATATCGATTTTTAATCCTTCCTCACATCATTTATAATATCTCACGTCGTTTGAAAAATAAATCCGATACAGAACACATAGCTGCCAAGGACACAACAAAGTATCCATACCATACACCCACACACGATTTCCTACACAGTTTCTTCATGTTATTGTGGTTTTGAAGAAGGAGAAGAAGAAGAAGAAGAAGAAAAAAGACTCAACTCCCGGAATGCTCATGCATTTTGAACGAACACATGAAATGCAAATAGTGAATCGAGGATTTTTCGAGTAGAAAATTTGTAGCAAACAAAATAACAAAACTTCAAACTCGGCTTTTATACTGGCCGTCTATGAAAATATTATTCAAATCCGAAAACAAGCATCAGAACTGCCATTAGAAGAATCTCGTGAAGCGCGGATATTTTAAACGAATATTTTCCCTACAATCATCGAAAAGTAAACTCTCTCACAAACATACACACACAATTGATTTCTTCGTCACGAAGTAAATAGAAAAATCCATTCAAAATTGCTCTCAGCGCCGCAGACAACCCACCAAAACGCAAAGCAATGAACGGCTTAAGCTTGAGCGAGCTATGCTGTCTGTTTTGCTGTCCACCGTGCCCCGGCCGTATCGCATCGAAATTGGCATTTTTACCACCGGAATGCTCATACGAACTGAAGGCCGATGAGACTAGCCCAACCAAATTCTCAATGACACTGCTCGATCGGGCCGATTGGCAATACAGTGAACGCGAAAAGGAATGCTTCGAAGCATTTTACACACGATCATCGAGGGGAAATCGCATCGCCTGCCTATTCGTACGGTGTAGTGCAAATGCCAGGTGAGTTGGAACTGAATAACGAACAACCAAAATAGTTAATTAAACAAAAAAGTAAAAAAAAATTTGTAAAATGCCATTAGAAAGAAAATTAGTTGCTACACACGGTGAGTGTAGCAGCATTTCGAGGACTGATGGTTGCAACAAGAGAAGAAAAGAACGTGACGCTTTGTACCTCTGTTATCCATTCAAGCTTCCGTTAAACTAACTAACACTTGGATCGATAATTACGTTCAACTCGTCAGTCGGTTTTTTTTCTGTTTTTAGCACTACATGAAATGTAGAGCTACTAATCTGCTCATTTTTTTAAATACTTTTTGAGTGATGAAACAAATTATGGTGAATTTGAATTTTATCCTCACATTATTTATTTAATTTAAACCAAAAGCAGTATATTTCAAAAAAGAAATTAAACCAAGATCTTGTCATTCATTTTGCAAATAAATATATTACTTCAAAGTTACTTTGATGAAATACATTTCATGTAGTGCGCCAAAAAATAGTTTGTTGTGAAACAACAAAATAGATTAAGTAACTAAAAACTCAAGACCGCAGAGCGGAGCGAAGTTTTTCTGTCTCTTATTTTTGCGATGAATCCCAACATTTTGATTCGACCGGCGAGAGAGAGAGAGAGAGAGTGAGAGCGGAAGATGCAAACCACTTACATGAAAAATGAAATTTTAAATGCAATTTGTTCTGAAAATACCACCGCGTGCGAAATACACGCCGAAATAATGGTGGTGCTCTCGCTCCCGCTCTCTCTATCTCTTACACTCTCGCATTTCACACGCAGCCCATTGCGATGCACATGCACACACAGATGTACATGTGATGAGAAAGAGCAATGTTGCGGTATACAAGACATTCAAAGCCAAATGCACAACATACCGAGTTCGAGGTGCTGTCAGTTGTATGTCGACAAAAATCGTGGCATATCGCAGCGTGCTGGCCCGCACGCATCTGCTCACAAGGAATATAGTGTTTCAAGTCATCATTAATACACTTCATCAACATGTAATTTATATGAAGCGTGCACTTGATGTGATTAATATTTAGGCAAGTACAAAATGTGTGTACAACTCGTTTCATGGAACATTTCAAATGATTTGTGTGTCGGGTGTGTGTGTGTGCGTGTCATATTGCACGAACGATGTCTAAGTGTAAATGTATTGATTAACGTCATGGCTCATTCATCAAATGCGCTTTCAACCAGCCGGAGAAGTGAAGAGATAGAGAGATAGAGAGATAGATAGAGAGAGAGAGAGAGAGAGAGAGAGAGAGAGAGAGAGAGATACAGCCGAATATCTGTGAGAAAATCACAGAATACACACGACGACGACGATATTTGCTATGTAAAAAAGAGCAACAACAGCAGCAGCTGTATCGGTGGGTCGGTCGGTTAGTGTAGTGTCACGCATGTGATACGCGCTATATGTCACATTTGCATAGATATTTTGCATCCAGGGCCTATTGATTAACTCGCACACACGCAGAGAGAGAGAGAGAGAGAGAATCTATCGTAACAAACCTCTTTCATCATCAATTTTCTGACTTGATTGAGACATCCAGATTCAGCGTACGTTCATATGAGTAATGTGCACACATTTAGCGCAAACGACGTTAATTCCCTATGAACAATTCCAAATGAATGCAAAACGCTCTCAAAAGGTGAAATATGATTAACCGTATTTCGTGCTTTTATTATTAGCTCAAGTCAAAGTGCAACATTTTTTTATCGGCATTTTTTTTACTCGCAGTTTTTTGTTTGTTCTTTTCGGAATGAAGAATTTATTACTGACAACCCAAAACCCAGATAAGATAATCAACAAACGAAGCAAAAAAAAAGATGTTTATTTTCTTCTTCAAAGACAAATTTTCAATTAGGCATCTAAAAAGTGTGCTCCAGCAAGGCCACTTTCTTCGGATTTTTTCGACACCAACGGTAGAATCCATGAGAATTGTGGATGTGTTTTTCCGCCCAATAATTTAAAGATGACATTTTCGCTGGTTGTTATGAAGCATCCAATTTGACGAAGACGTTGAAATGCTAGGCAACGATCTTCGACCGAACGTGATGTCGTACAATCGGCCACAATATGCACATCATAATCATTGTCCAGTAAATCCATGGCCGTTTGTTCGATGCAAATATGCGTCTCAAGACCAAATAGAACAACACTTTTCACATTGTTCAGGCCGATAATTGCATGCTTTAGCTTTTCGTCTTTCATAATGCTAAATTCCAATTTTGGATACACACCAATCGCATGTGACACATTCAATTCCGGTGCTGTTTTACCTAATCGCTCTGGATATTGTTCCGTAACAATTAACTTAATGTCAAGCTGTTTGCCACTAGATAACAGCTTTTGTGCATTTGTTATAATTGCCGGAATGTGGTGTGCCACCGACCGAAATTTATCTTGTAAATCGCATAATAGAAATAGTGTCGATTCGGATTGTAGGCGACCCAATGTCGACCGTAATGCCATTTTTCGCTAATAGTTTATGGTTCTTCGTTCGGTTTCTCTCTCTCTCTCTCTCTCTTTCGTTCTCTTGCTCAAAATCTAGAAAAGAGAGCACAACAAAATAGACATGCATTATCTAAATGAGATAATGATTTTAATGAAACTGATTTTTTATATCAGTTCTTATCGTCAATACATACATGTAAAAAAGAAATAGTTCCAATTTTTCTGCTGGTTAATTGCTGAAATTTGGAAACAAAAAAACAAAAACAAAGCTTTTCGAAACAAAGTAAATTGCGGTTATCAGTAATATGATTTGTAGAAATTGAATGCGATAAAAAAAAGGGCCGCGAACAAAAAATCTCATTTTCTATGTCAATGTTAACTGCATTCGAGGTAAAACGATTAAAGGCATCGAAAAAAACGATGCATAAAAAGCAGCAGCAGCAGCAGCAGCAACAACAATAGCAACAGCCACAGATCAACATAGAACTTGTTCAATGTATATATTATAATGAGTCATCATTTTGCGTGCTCGTGCACTCAGAGCGTATCACAAACATTTACCTGTGTAGAAAAGATCGTTTGCACGGAAACCTTATTTTAGATTGATCATTTCGGTTGACATAGACAAAACACCACTTGAACAATAACAATAATTAATATTAGATATGATTAAAAGTCTCCGCTGTCATCCGCACAGTGAACCAAATTTAAATGTCATTCTGTTGTTTTTTTTCCTTTCATTTGATATGATCGTTAAAAGTGAGGTTATATTACCGCTCATATTTGTATACCAGTAAATGCTGTCAGTCGGGCGAAATGAAATGAAAAAAGAGAAATCCGTTGACCTTTTGAGAGAAAAAAAAAACGAGTGAACGCAATTGCTGTGTTGATGAAAATGTTGGGCCAAATCACGTATACGAACCCTTTAAATGTCACCACCGACGACGATGAACATCGACAACAATGGGTGGCTCAATAAATTCGTCAAAAACAAATGCTTTTCGGTCGCAATTTTAATGGTTTTATTCGTATCTTTATTTCTTTTGTTTTTTTTTTTCCAGATTCACATTACTCTTTTCACATGGGAATGCCGTCGATTTGGGGCAAATGACAAGCTTTTTCGTAGGTTTAGGTCAACGCATCAATTGCAATATATTTAGTTATGATTATTCGGGGTATGGCATGAGCACCGGCAAACCAACCGAAAAGAATTTGTACGCTGATATTGATGCCGCCTGGCACGCGCTACGTACACGGTACGGCATTAGCCCGGAAAATATCATTTTGTACGGTCAAAGTATAGGTACAGTGCCAACGGTTGACCTAGCCAGCAGGTAAACACAAACACACATACAACATTTTTTTTTATCGCTTTCTGTTTTTTATTCATCCATTTGGATGTTTCATCCGTCCCTTTGATGAATTGCAAATGGTTTATTTACCTTTAAAATTATTCGCTTAGTTTTCAAAATCGATTTTTTTTTCTCTCTGTTCTTGTTTGACTTTAGATACGAAGTTGGAGCTGTAATACTTCATTCGCCGTTGATGTCTGGTATGCGTGTCGCATTTCCAGCCACACGAAGAACGTGGTTCTTTGATGCATTCCCTAGTATTGATAAAGTTCCAAAGGTGACATCGCCCGTACTGGTGATTCATGGAACAGAAGACGAAGTTATTGATTTCTCGCACGGTCTCACCATCTACGAAAAGTGTCCACGTGCCGTCGAACCACTTTGGGTGGAGGTAAGTATTGTGCTCCAATTATTCGATTTCGCTTTGATATCTATCTTGAATTTGGATCGATTTGATCGAAAATTGCAGCCGAATTGAATGTAAACAATATAATAAAACAATCGAACAATAAATTAATGTTATTTGTTCTGTTTTTTTTTCGTTTCGTTTCGAAATCTAGGGCGCTGGACACAACGATGTTGAAATGTACACGCAATATTTAGAGAGACTAAAGCAATTCGTATCCGTCGAACTCATCAACTGACAGCAACTGAACTCTGACGTTAGCGCTCAAGATGCTGGTTCAGGTGTGTGTCTCGTATTCAATGAAATTGAATCAAATGAACAAAAACAACAAATCAATTTATTTAAACCCAATTTCCCGTGTGATTTAGTTCATATCGTAGTAAAAGTTTGAAATTCAAACTTTAAATTTGACTTTTATCCAGATTTGGAGCGTGGTATTGACTTTTTTTTTCTGTAGTTTCGTGTGTGTCTAACGTGTGCTTTTTGGTCTTCTATTTCATTTTGTAGGCGATGACATACTTAACGCTTCGATTACAATTAGTTCAACAACCACAAATAACTCGACCACTGAAAAACTTCTTTAGCATAAGGGGTCCGGCATTCCGGCCGACCCACAATCAGCGAATCAACAACAATCACAATCATCACCATCGGATGCAAAAGTAAAACAATCCTCATCCAACACAACAACCACCACCACCACTACGAATGCACCAAAAAAACTTCTTGATTCAGCTGCGGGTACAAGCGGTACGAATGACCAGGACCAAAACAATGGAAAATCCACAAAACCAAACAACAATACAGACAGTACGAATAGTGTGGCCAAATCAAATAATAAAAAACATGACAAAACTAAGGACGCTCATAAATGCCGTTGTTCGGCTGCATCGAAAACATCTACGTCAAGTCGACAAACAAGTGCATCGACATCAACGAATGCCGCCTCCGCCGCCGCCGCTACAAATCTAGCACTGTTGCGCAATTTTAAAGATTTACCGGTTCGTGAGTACGAGAAATTATCGCCACTTCCACCGAATTCAATGCATAAGAATAGCTCTTCCGTTGCCGATGCTGCATCGCTCAACGAAAAAGTGTACAGTCCAAAAGCGACCACCGCCAATCACAATGGAAATTCGAACTGCGAATCTTCATTGAAACACAAGAAAGACAACAGCAGCACATCGGCAACCAATGATGATACAACATCGAAACCGGACGATGCATTGATTTTACGAATTGGTAGCTTGGAAAAGAGTGCACGTCGTTTATCGTCGCTCAGCATCAACCGGAGCACCGATAACGGTGATAAAATCCGAGGCAAAATTAAAGTACGCACGAAAACCGATCCGCATCCAATATCATCGTCACAGAAATTGCGCGATTTTTCGTCGTCGGGCACATTGACCACCGTCTTCACCAGCACGCACAGCTCAAGCAAATGCAATTGCAGTAGTTGTAAATCAATGTCTTCAAGCGTATCAAATTCAGACAATCATAATAAAACGAAATCCGTTGGCACACAACACGATGCAAATAATGCATACGATCCGTGGGTACGGCAAACCACCACCAATGCAACGGATTCAACGAAATCAAAATCAAATAGCTCAACCAAATCGGCCGTTCTCACACAAAAGTTGGCCAACACAAATGCCAAAGTCATTGTCATTACGGATGATTTTAAGAAAAAAGCACTCACCAATCAAGAGGTGTTCGTTGATACAAAGCGAAAAATGTTGCGCTACATGAAGGCAAACAAATTGACCAATTCATCACGTTCAATGGACAATGACAATGAACCGGATGACGCAAACAAATTGGATAAACAGAAAGCAATATCAAAATCGGTGGACAATGTATCACAACTGTCCACCGAATTAGATCAATTGGACAATGTCGGTTCGGTGGAATTGATCTTCATCTCCGATGAATATCTCAACAAAGTCGACAAACCCGATGTTATCATTTTGGTGAGTGTGTGTGTGTGTGTGTTAGTAGGTCGATGTGGGTGGACGGCTGAGACGAGTGTGAATTGATTTTTAGCGAAGAAAATTGAACTTTTTTCTGTTGATTGATTTCATTTTCTTTCACTAATTGAGTTTGCAACACATTCGATTGAAAACAAATTCAAATTCAAATTAAAATTTTCGATTTCTAATTCAAACCTTGGAAAATCAATTTATTGTCGTCTCAACATTTTCCTTCACATCAAACTAAAATCTGTTTAGCGTTTTCAAAAAAAGAATAATTTCCTATAACATGCGTTCTTTCTTTTTTTTTCTGTAGAAAAACAATTCCAAGCAGATGAGTGAATACACGAATCGTAAGTCAAAGCAATCGAGCTTAAGTGGCAAGGCCAATGGGAGCAATAATAGATCGCATGTTGCCAACAATACTTCGGAGAATGGTCAGTCAAAGAAAGCGGTAGCAACAGCTGTTGCGGATGATGTTCGTCGAAAATCATTACCGCCACCGTCGAAAACCATCATCGGCGAGAAAAATCGTTCGACCGAAGAAAATCAAGACAGTGACAACGGTATTGTGACTGGCAACTGTGTCAATGGCAATTCAAATAAACAACACGGTAAATTGAATCGTCAAAGTAGCGGTGAGACTTCGATCGATGACGTCAACAATAAACTAACATCACACGCATTTCAATCGTACGACGAACAAGAGCAGCATCTGGAAAGCAAAGAGATTCAATCGCCCACTACCGAAGATATTTCAACTTAAAAAAAAAACAAACAACGCCGGAAGAGCCAAAGACACGGAATGCATTTTCATAATCACATTTAAAAGAGAGTATTTGTATTTTTTTTCGTGTTCATTTTAAATAGTATTTGAGATGGTTTTTTCTGTTTGGTTCTGAAATGAGTTAATTCGTACCCATTTCACACACTGTCTGTTTTGTGTAGGAAACAAAAATGTTTGGTCATCGAAAATACTGCTACACACATATAATTATGTTATTCGTATTATTCGTTTTGTGATTTCTGTTCAACAGCGTCCAAGTTGTTCGATTTAGGGATTTATTAATCTATTTTTTTTTATCCATAATTTCTTTTTCTTTCTGTTCAGTGAGTTTCTTTTTTGTCCCGTTTCATTTTCAAATCAATTTATATATATATAAAAAAAATAAAATAAATATATCATCATTATCATCGTCGTCTTCGTTGATTCCGAAATAAAAGTGAATGAACGAGCGAGCGAGAAAAAAAAAACCGAAAGTGGAAAAATTTGGATTTTTTGTTCCATAACGTGAAAGTAAAAGAAAAAAGTGAAAATCAGCAAACCATTAAATTACAGTCCTAAGGATATTATAATTGTTAATCAAACTGAATTATAGGCTATGAGTGAGAGAAAAAATATAAAATGAAATGAGATGAGATGAACCTAAGCTACAAAAAAGTATATAGGGAAAAAAAAATAAAAATCCAAAAGACTTTGTTAATACTGTTAATATTTTATTGGCACTAGTTGAATAAAATGAAAGTAAAAAAAGAAGATGTAGAAGGTGAAAAAAAATTGAGTAACAAAAAAAATTCTACCTATCGAAAATTTTATACTTTGTAAAATTCTTCATCTTTAACTATGTCACACAAATACATACAAATATAAACACATACACTGTGACCAAAGGTACTTTTGGTTATATTGTATTTTATTTGATAAAAAAAAAATGAGAATGAGATAAACATAAAGAAGAGAAAAAAAAATACACACAAATTGATTTATTATTATAATTGTATATGTCCCTCCTTCCCCAATTCTCCCCCTCATAAAATTGTATGATCTAATGATAACTCAAAAAACATGTATAAATGACACAATGTAAGTGACTACCTTCCGAGCAGAATTCGATGCAAACATAAAAAATGGAGAAAAAAAATTTAACGAAAAAAAATAATCAAAATTAATGAAAAAAATAAAATAAAAAATGTTTCTCTCAAACAAAACAAAAAAAAAAACACACCGCAAACCCTAATATTAATATTACAGTATAAATTCGCACGCGTGTAGTGTTTTTTATTTGAAAAATTGAAAGAAATTGACAAAGAAACGCAAAAAACAAAATTGTTGTTCTCGAACGATAGTACCAAAAGTAAGAGTTTGCATTTAAAACAAAGGGAAAAAAGCCACGAATCGATATGTGTATTGGCAAATGTTCAAATTGAACGAGTATTTCGGACCGATTGAATAATAAGTGTGCATAATACGATTGTAGACTACGATTTGTAGTATTACGATTGCAAGTGATGACTTCGACGTTCTTTTTTTTCCTCGTTTTTTTTTGTACTTTTTTCTCGTGATCGGGAGTTTTCTGTGTTGTTTCTTAGTTTCATTTTAAAAATAGAAAATCAATTTTTTTAAATTAGAAAATTCCAATTTTTTCCCCTTTTCGAATGGATAAACAGGATTCGTTACAATGACTACACATCGCTGTGTAGTTATTCATTAAGACTGAATGCAATCGAATTATTAAAAAAAAAATGATGTAACACTGAAATAGTTTATGTTAGCCAAACATTTTGTTTGTCACACCAAACTGATCAGGAAGATTGAAAAGAGAGAGAGAGAGAGAGTAAAAAAGAAGAAAACAAATATAACCATAATGAGAAATTCGCTGGGTTTGTTAAAACAACCTGATAACCTTTTTTTAATTCAGTCTCTGTGTTTCTTTACCGCCGCAATATTCAATGTGTTTTTTTATTATTATTTCGTCTCGAATTTATACTGTAATTTATAAGAATTTAAGTGAATATTTTAAAATAAATTCTCAATAAAAAAAAAACCAAAAACATTCGCGTAATTTGCTAAAACAGACAAAAAAAATAGATTGAGGTCGTAATAGAGATATATTCAACACGCATTTGTTTATTTCACGCAAGATTATCACACGTTTGGCCGATTTGTACGGTTGTATGTAGTCTGTACAGAAAAAAGACGATCGATTTTCGCGCACCTTCGGACGGCATCCAAATCGCATGTGCAAAATCATATCGAACTATGTTATTGAGCATTTAATGGATTTTTTTCTTTCGATTTTGTTGACTTTTTTCGATATTTTTTGCGATTTTTTATCAACAACATATTCGTTGCGATTTTTCTTTATTAACAAAAAAAAATCAATAGTTTTGTTACGAATTTTCGGCGAATGCGGAACAAAAATATCGGCGCCCGTGTTCATTAATATTCTCAAAATATGTATTCCTTATATGCAAACTACTAAACGACTTTAACAGTACAAAACAAAAATTCAAGAAACAAGAAGCAAAAAACTAAACTATACAAGCCGTCGGCTGATGCAAAAGATTCAGCATTTTGTAATTGCGTGTAAATCTTTAACGAAAAAAAAAAACAAATATTAAATAGTGAATCAAATGTTTGCATTATAATATTTAAAAAAAATGCGTTTAGGGGTAATAACTTTTTTTCTATGGTGAAATGCAAGTCATTCATTCGGCGAAACAGATTTAAACTACACACAGCAACAACAATAATCACAGAAAATGATTCATTTAATTCAAACCGAAGAAGATAGTAACTCAATTGAACTCCATTTAGGTGTTAATGTTTGTTTAAAGAAAATAATACGTTAAACAATACAACAAAAAAGGGAAAAAAAACATTAAATATGTCACACTCGTAAAACAAAACAAAACAAAACAAAAAAAAAATACGATTTTATGAACAAACAAAAACAAATGAATAAAAAAATGACTACAAAATTCAATGATTTATTGAAGTATTTAGACTAAGCTTCGATTGATGTGAAAAGTATGGATTCAAATTGTTTTGGAAAAGAGTATACATTTGGTTTGAAGAAAAAACTAAAAACGAAAAAAATCACACTTTTCCTCTAATTTTGCTCCTTTTTCTTCTTCTTTGACCTTTTTCTTCCTTCCTTCTCGATTTTTTTTTCACCTACAAGGCCTGTTTATGCTTATTTTGGAATTCAAAACAGCGCAACCGATGCATGGACCGTACTAATTTGATGCTGTGTGTCAGCACATGATCGGATGATTCTAAAAATTGATAAACTTGAAATGTTTTTATACCATAATTGCGATAGTGACAACAACAGCACACAAACAGGCACATAAACACACATCGGAGGTGCCTTCTTCCATTCTCGCTCTATCATTTGTACTGCTTGGTTAATCATGGGCTGTGATTAACACTATTTGTTGTTGTTGATGATGTCTTTGAGTGTTCTGTTTGCCGTTTCACGCTTCCCAAAATGGATCATATGTGGCTGACGCAAATTTCAATGCGAATAAACTAATGATGATTTGAAAAAGAGCGCAAATAAACACGTATTTCCCGATTTTTTCGTCGATTTGCTACAACTCAAAACAATAATCAACACTGGCATAAACATTCGATGAAGCTGTGTGAGTAAGAAAGCAGGCGCGAGATATGTGATATGGCAAACAGAATCACTTTGAAAATTAGAATATCAAGAAAAGTGTGGAGCGAAGTAGGAAAAAAACAACAACATAAAATCTGTTCACAACAACAATGTGTTTCGTACATTCTGGTAACAACATTCCAGCGATTTAATTCACATGGTTTTTTGGACGCGTGATAAGGGTAATATGTGTCATTCGGAAATATGTTTTTTTTTGGCAAGAAAAACAACAATTACAATTTTTATTTTAATACTATTATGTAAACGATACGATGATTTAAGGTTGTTTTTAAACCATTTCTAATCATCTGCTTCACAATTATGTTGATATCATCTCCCTTCAGATGCTGGACTTCTCAGAACTTTAGCCTTATGTAGCATTATTCTTCGTCCATTGATTAACATCATAGTAAACATGATCATGTTTGAATCATGATGAAAAACAACCAAACGATGGCGATTATTTTTTTGTACATTTCAATGGAATTATTATCATCTCCTCGACATTTTGGAGGAGATCTTCTCGAAAATGCTTTGGTATGGAATAGTTTGTTGTGATTGTGGCTGTCATGTTGTTTTTCTTTATCAACTCCTTCGATTTGTTTTTTTCCGTTGCTCTGAAGAAACATCTGATGATATCACTTCCTTTCGAATCGATGCCCGTGATTTTTTTTTTCGCAAACTGATACATATAGAATAATATTCGTTAAAAACATGACGTCAAATGGTAGCATTATGATGAGTTGTTTTATCTTTTCCACATAAATTGCAACTGTGAATTTTTCCAGGCAAATTTCTGAATTTCCACCAGAGCTAAACTAATCGATCCGTGATCTAAGCTTTTTTCTGGTTTTCTTTCTCTACTCGTTTCTTTTCTCATTGATTCAACAATATTTAATCAATGTAACTCCTCCAAAAAAAGAGATCAGCTAAGCATTCCATGATCACCACTTCCGAAGAAATGTTGTATTTTGCACAAATAGACTAATCAATTTGTGTCACCGTTTTAATCAATTTGGCTTGGGAACTCGCTGACCATTGTTTAAAAAAGTGAGTAACGAAGCATGTTAGAAAGCGAGGATAAGTGAGTGCAAGCACATGTTCTCAATGAACGCGAATTAAATAAAAATTAAAACGACACACATGCACTCGACGACGCAAACAATGCGTAGTGAAATTGAATGATGATATGACAGTCATTTCCTCAACGTTCCTGTTTGAGTTCTGAACCTGGGATGTGTTTTGCCAGTGGCCGATAGCCGATTGTCGCTCTATTGTCAATCATCAATGATTTTGTTTTCTTGGTTTTTGTTTTGCTGCTGCAAGCGGACGAGATTGATGCATGTGCGAAAAAGAGAGAGAGAGAGAGAGAGAGAGAGAGTGACAAGAATGGCAAATAGAGAGACACATCGCCTATTACAATCGATCGTAACAGTTTCAACATTTTGACGCATGAATACACGTTCTGAACTTATGGAAAAACTTATTCTCGATTATATACGGAAATCGGCACTTGAAGGTTTCACAACAGCGCACACTTCCCGAGCTCCGGCTCTGTGATAACCAATCAATCGCTCTCTGTCTATATAGGATCCATACGACGAGCAAGATCCACAAATTGAATCGAACGAGTGATGGTGGTGATGAGTGTGTGAGCCTTTCTTTTTGAGCTACTAAATTCGACACACGATACGAGTATTTATAGGAAATTCATTTAAAAAAAAGGCAAACAAAAGCGAAAAAAATAAACAACATTTCGTACTACTCGTGTAATTGATTATTTTTGATTGATTTTTTGTTTTGTTTCGTCGTTATTGTCTATTCCTTCTTTTGCCGATTCTCTGGTGAGTGATGAACTGATATAAATAATTCTATTGAAATTCGATGCATCTTTGGCCGGAAATGTTCGTGTGCCAGGGCATACGAAGTGCGAAAACGTTCGATTTATTGCGATATTTTTTTTTGTTATTGGTTCAATAACCGACAAATTTTGTTTACATTTCTTCTTCTCGTTTATAAATTAAAAAAAAAAAACATTGACGCGGTACAAAAACGTGGGAATTTTTTTGAAAATTGTTAATTTCTTCGGTTTTGTTACAACGAATAAAAAAACTGAGAAATTCGCAACAAAAACCACTTGAGAAAAAGTCGTGCTAATTATTATAAGATAACGCGGCGTAGACAGACAATGGGCACAAAAAAGGCCCATTCATAACGATAAGAGCCAGACGATCATTGCAAATTCGAATTACTATCGTTTTGCCACCAAAATCACTAGTTTTACAACTTTTTTCATTTAATTTTCTACTTAGACAGCCGGACGCCCTTTTCATATCAGTCTCGCAATTAATTTTTTCGGAATTTTTTTTTTCGCACAACTTTGTGAGTCAGAAATTTCACACGTTTTTTGATCTTTTTTGTTTGTTCCCTCAAGTGATTCCGTTGTATGGAATTTTTATTTGTCTCAACTCCTTGCCGATTTCAATTGCTTCAAAACACAAATTCAATATTTTTCACTATTCGTATTATATTTCGTTCGAGATCGGTTATCGAAAGAGGCAGAACCATCGATTGCTAGTCATCTTTCGAGAATACTTTCTTTGATCTACATTCTACATTGTATCAAAATTTTGCAAATCATTAATTTATATGTTCAATTTTGTACGTACGTCATAACATCATCCTTCGGGATTTTTCATACAGTCAAAATATGATTTTTTAAACCTAGAAACAAGCGAACGCATTATGTGGTTTTTTCATTCAAAAACGTTGGGTTTTTTCATTGCCACCACATTATTCAAGGTTCAACCTAGAGAGATTTGGTAAATAGACTCTGGTCAATCGATGAGGTCTGCGACAGGGTTAATGTGACGTATACAAAATGAAACAGTTGATCTAAAAGACAAACGGTGAGCGAAAGCTAGCGGTTCTCGCACTTTTGCGATCAATGTTAACTAATGAACGAAAAAAAGCGAAATAGAATAATTAGGAAAACATAGCGAGCTATGCATGGCAACCTGAATCAAATCATTCTCTCGGTTGTATGTATATTTTTTGCGAGGATTTAGTTCATTCGCGTTAATAAATTATCATCATCCGTCACCATGTCGAAGTCAAGACTAATGGAATGCAACTTTTGCGCGATGATCATACTTGATCCACAATGACCTCTATCATTTATGTGTGATTGCTTCTAGAAATTTTACACCTTCTTCGAAATAAAATGTTGCGCGCGTTGCTATTTCTGATATGCGTCCGTTTTTTGCGCGGCAGCCTTTTTTTCGCTTCAATGAATGTTCGTGCAGTTGTAAGTTCTCTCCGTGCCGCCGATGACGATTCGGCGATAGAGGAAGGAAGATCTCGAGCGTTGCAGAAAAGGCGAGAAAGATAGAGCGAGGGAGAGAGAGAGAGAGAGATATATATATAGAATGAAAGAGAAGAAAGGATAGGGATTTTTGTGTGAGAATTAGCCGTCGCAAATGATGCGATAATTAAACTGGATTTCGCAAGCTGTTTGTTGTTTTTCAATATGGATTTTGCGCGGATCTCAAATTTGTGTTGTATTTTGTTTCTGTTTGATTCGGTTTGTCCGCAATCAAACGGCATGCTATACAATGTAGTAGTTGACCGCTTATCAGCAACTCATTGAAAATGATGCATGCGTCTGATCTTATTACACTATTCGATACGAGAAGAAGAGCCGGCAGCGGAAAATAATACGACGCGTTTTTTGCGCGTTTGCCAACGTTGAATGGAGTGTGTGTGTGCGTGCGTACTAGCGAGCGAGCGAGCGATATTTTTCTTGCTCATTGGAAAACAACACACAATCACGAGCTTTATATTCGAAAATCAGTGGCGCCAAAAAATCAGTTTAACTTCGACACTGCAATCGTTAACAACACACAAGCTTCTTCCTAGTTTTTGTCATTATTAGTGTAATTGACGCGGAAATAAATTGAACAATTGATTGATTCGTTCTGGTGTGAAATAAAATTGTAGATTGATTTTCCAACGATGGTACATATTGCTGTAATTGGAGCTGGGTGTGCCGGGCTGTGTGCAGCCAAAACGGCTTTGCAGAGCGGTTGTGAGGTGACAGTTTTTGAGCAGGCCAAACAAGTTGGTGGCACATGGGTGTACTCGGATCAAATTGGAAAAGATGAATATGGTCTGGATGTGCACACGAGCATGTATCAAGGTTTACAGTAAGTAGCTTTAGTTTCGCCTGTCAAAGGGTACACATATATGTGTTACAATGTACCTAGTTATATGTGACCACAACCGATTACCAAACCGAATCGTTTGAATATTTAAAAATCGTTCATGTTTTTTTGTTTTATTACAGTACAAATTTACCAAAGGAACTGATGGGCTATCCAGATTTTCCAATTCCCGATCAGAAAAAATCCTACATTCCACAAAAGGACATGCTTACATTTTTGGAGTTGTACGCACAACAATTCGATGTATACAAGACCATTAAATTTCAATCGTACGTGATTCGTGTACGACCGTATGGTGATGAGGATCAATGGGAAATAATCGTGCGTGACCTACCGACCGAAACATACACTACGTACATTTTTGATGCGATTATTGTTTGTAACGGCCATTATCATACGCCTGCCATGCCAAAATATCCCGGAAAAGATGTGTACAAGGGTCAGCAAATCCATTCACACGATTTTCGATGCTCTCAACCGTTCAAAGGTAAGAAAACAACAACCAGTAGCCAATCAGCAATAAAAAAAACACACACACACACAGCAGTAACCGCAACAGTCAAAGTGTGTATGCTAGTTAGTATTGGGGGAGAGAGAATGACTTTTTTTGAGCTTTCAAATCGCCCATTCACACAAATCGAGACGAGTTTTCACATTTCCTATTACCAAATTTCGATATTCATTCTGATGGAACCCAAACAAATCACGGACAATTGATTCATGTTTACACTCGTGAAACACTTGCAAATCAAATGCCAAAGTATTTTCTTGATTATTTCCAAAAAATAATAATAATAATCATGTATTCCATTCCACAATCAATCTTGATGATTCAAATAGATAAAAATGAACCCTATTAAATTAAAGTGAAGGCAGAAAAAAACGTTTATGAAATATAGATGAGTCGATGAGGAAGCGTAACTGATAAAATGAGTGTGTGCGTCTTTGCATAGATTACGTTGCGTTACTACTACTGTTGCTACTAACATTGTTGCTATCTCCATTATGAGCAGCGTACACATTTCCAGCCTGCATTCCAGTTTTTTCTACGGTTGATAGAATGATATGTTTTTTTCTGTGAAATATTTGAAAAAGCATGCGATTCATACAATCATTTATTTTCAATTCTATCCCCGTTATAGATTCAATTTTTTTCCCATATCCGTCCCTCTCTTTCTTTCTCTCTCTCGTATGATACAAAAATAGGCGCATCTGTATTAGTTATCGGAGCTGGACCAAGTGGTATGGATTTGGCAAATGAAATGTCAAAGGTGGCTGAACGCGTAACGCTCAGCCATCACCAGAATCCCGAGCCAAAAACCATTTTTCGACCAAATGTTGATATGCGACCGGATGTCGAACGGCTCACCGAAAATGGTGTTGTATTTGTTGATGGCACCGAACAAACCTATTCCGTGATTATGTACTGCACCGGATACAAATACACATTCCCCTTTTTGAGTATCGATTGTGGCATTTCCGTGGATGATAACTACGTGAAACCACTGTACAAACACTGCATCAACATCAACCATCCGACGATGGCACTCATTGGCGTACCATTCTACGTGTGTGCATCACAAATGTTTGACTTGCAGGTAGATAGAGAATTTTTCTTCGATTTTTCTGATGCTCGATCAAAACGTGACTCGTTAAAACTCGAATAAAATGCACCATTTGCCATGTCTTTTTCAATTCTAGGTTCGTTTCGTCATGAAATACTTTTCGAAACAATTGCAATTGCCATCGAAAAAGGAAATGCTCAAAGATACCCAAGATGAAATGGAAAAGCGCTGGGCACTTGGATTAAAGAAGCGTCAAGCACATATGATGGGGCCCGCTCAGGTTTGTATTGCTATTTAACAGTATTTTAATTTATTGTCCTTCAATTTCAAATTTTCTGAACGCTCAGTGATGAGAGAAATTGTTTGAACACAGTGAAGTTGGCTTCATTTTCCCTTGAATTTAAATTTTCAAGCAAGATTTTTCATTGATTATGAACAACAGATGAATCAAATAAATCGAACAGAATAATTTTATAACATTTTTCATTTGTTTGATTTTACAGAACGATTACTACGATGATTTGGCAAAGACGGCTGGCATCGACAACCTCAAACCAGTGATGACTAAATTACACAATGATAGCAGCGAACGTTTCTTAGATGATTTGGTCAACTTCCGAAAAGACATTTATCGAATTATCGATGATGAAACATTCATTAAAATCAAAGGCGTTTAATTTCGTTAGAAAAAAAACTTTGTTCACTATTTACATTTATATAAAACGAATTTATTTTTAATATTTGAATACAGTAATACCCAGTTTTTCTTACGTATATTTACGACGACAGAATAATGCGTTTTGTTTTTAGATAATTTGCCAATAAAGTTATACTTATTTAAAATTTAAAAAAAAAGTCATTTTTGCATCAATAAAAACAATTTTGTCCTTTTTTGCTCAGAATCGAAATCAGTAGAATGATTCATTGAATAGGGGATTAAGCGGGAATTTGGCGATATTTCTCAAATCCTGATTTATTGTCAGACAGGTTTTTTTTTAGTCAAACAGGGTTTCTCAACAACTCCCAAATACCGTATCGTGTCGAAGTTCCCAAATATCGTATGTGAGCGTGTGTACGTGTAACGTTGTTAATACACGTTAGTCGCTACACACAACTCACGCATACAAAGATCTTAGGCACTTCTGAGAAATCCACTTTCGGCGAATTTTCAGTCAATTTTCTCTCCACTTTCTCGCTTTATTTTAGAAAAAATTTCCAATTTCAGCTAAAATGGGAATGAAAGGCTTAACGATGTCCCTGTAATGCATCTCGTAAAGATCTGCTAGAGAGCATTCAAATCAAATGTCATCAGAACCATGTTTAAGTCATTACATCTTACGTTTTTCTTTTATATCTGGCCACTGTTACGGAAAAGTAATAAAAATGTCCAAGTTATCTTACCTTTTGTCTTTTATTCACACCTTTTATTCTTTTGCTCCAAACAAAGTGTATTACTTTTTTTAAAATCATGATTTCAAAAGGAAGTTTACGTAAAACTGTTGTTTTGTTAGTGTTTTCACTTGTTTTGCTCGGGATGAATAATAAACATTTCCATTTGTGGATCAATCGATTTGAAGGCCACTACATAATCACAGCCATTCACAAACACTTGCAAGGAATCATGCCAAGCGCGCGAATGGCTTACTAAAATCTTGTTATTCTCTGGCCCCGTAATCAGTGTTTTGTTTATTTGTATGGTGTATTATTACATAAATAATAAATATTGTTGTTATTGTATGGCAAAACCAGAACAAATTTGTACTCGTAAATGATCGATTGGCGTCGTGTGTGTTATTCAGCCAATACTGGGCGGTGTTGAATTAATAAATAATCTCAAGAAAATAGCCTATTCCATGGGTGATTATAATTTACGTAATGAAAAAAAGGCCAAAATAACGGCTGATAATCATCGGCTATGACATCATACAACAGAATCAATTGATGATGATCAATTAGCTGAATTTAATCTGTAAGTGAAATTTCCTACTGAACAAAAAAAAATCTCTAGCCTCATGGCATTTTTTCCTCAATTCCACGTCACTTAAACAATGTGCCGTCAAAACGTCTTTTAATAACCGATTCAAATTCGTTGAATAATCTCCGATGGAAATCAAAATGCTAACAGGTAACGATAACAAGCGAGTAAAAAAATGTGCACGTCTAAGTAAATATGGTTTAATAAACACATGGAATGACCATAGGGACTCATGCATGGGAATATAATCGATGGGGAGTCGGTCGATGTTCTCTCTCACATACTTTTTGTTTACTGCTGATTTGTTTATTTGACACTTTGAATCCAAAATACAATGATAGTAAAGCTAAACGATTTCTGCACTTATTTTACATGTGTTTTTTTTTCTCCTGCTGCAATGGAAAAAAGAACTAAAGAGTATAGAAAGAAAATAGCATTTTACATTTACATTTAAAAATCCAATTTGCAACACGATGCAATCCGTGTCCGGGTTGCACGTAAATTTGAAAAAAAAATAGTGATGATTCAAATATTCTCTCATCCTTCTCTCTCTTTGTATTTGTGCATAAAGTTTATGTATGAGTTTAGTGTATGTTTCTTTCTTTCTTACGTGCTGTTATTCAAATTTTGAATATTGCTTGCGTTTGGGAATCTGAGCAATGCGCACTATTTTTTCACTATTTACATATTACAATATGTTTTTTTTAGCCCGTGTTTTTTTTCGGATACCTTTTTTTCTCGAGCAGCACTTTTTTTTCCTGTCTCAATCGTGGCTGTTCAAGGTGCATATTTGCCATTTGAATCATCACTTTCGAATCGTGCACGAAAAAAACCCAAACAAAAACAGAAAAACTCAAACAGAAAACTTCAGTAACGATCGTTTTGTCAGCATTTGTTATCACCACTCAGACCATCCATAAGTATATATTTGTTTCTTTCTTAAAGTAACTCAATAACATTTAATACGACAGATGATGAACAAAAAAGAAAATTCCATTCCAAGTTTAAATGTTTTAAACCAATTTAAGCGCAAACTGTTCGGTGTGATGCACGAGAAAAAACGATGAGAAAAGTAGTTGTTGTTCTTAATGTTGGAGAAATCGAAACTACTACAGATGTTTGGATTCGATGCGTGCTTTAATTTTTCGCACAGTGTTTCCGTTCTGTTGGAAGGCATTCCGTTTGAAGAATGCATTAATGGAATTCATCGAATTGTATTCTAGATTGTCGGTGATGCCATTGCCAACAGCGATACTTTGATGACGGCGGATGTTACAAGTGCGCGCTCCTTTTGCATTGTATTTGTCAAGCAATTGCAGCAAACAATCTTTGGTTGTGTTTGCAGCTTCTTCGAGGAAAATGGTTTGATGTGAATCGGGCGAACCAACCGGTACATCCCGACTCAATTGTGTGACACGGAATTTGGTGCGACGATTTGTTATTGGCCATGGCACCGAACCAAATGTACACGGTGACGTTGATTCCGATGAACTATTGCTGGTTGATGTGGTGATGGCTTTCAAACGATTCCCCAAGCTCGTTGAAATTGTTTCATTGGTGGTTTTTGTCGATGCATTCACAACTTTCTTGAACATTGACGGAGTTTCATCCAACGATCGCAATCGCTCAGTTAAATCATTGACTACCGATTTGGTGGCGAAACGAGACGATGATGTCGCTTCATCGTCCGACATCAACGATTTCGAATGGATCATTTTGCTGACGATGACTTTTTCCGTTTTTGTTGAACTACTAAAACTGGTGGCATTCTTCAAATTTTTCATCACTTCCGTGCGTTTTGCGTGCACTATTTTGTCGGCCGTTGATGGTGTCGTCGTCTTTGTTGTCGTCTTCGTTCTCGACTCTTCGATACGTTTGTTAAACTCTTTGAGTTCATCGTTTAGCGATGACAACACCAGCAAGCGATCGGATAATTTCTTAATTTCTTCGGCCAAATTGAGACGCTCAATGCCCGATGTGTGATTCATCACATAGTTACTATCCGAATGTCGACGATCAAATGATTGCAAATATTCTTGTTTACTTTTACTGTTTCGATCCGCCGATGCACTGCTGCTCGGCCGTTCGAATAATTCTTTTTGTGGCTTGTTATCGACGGCATCAGGCGGCTCAAAATCATTATCCAATTCGGGTGGAACTTCACTTTCCGGGCTAATTCCATTTTCGAACAGTTCCGTATTACTGCTAAGCGATTCGCATGGTGACGGCGAACAGCCACGTGATGAAAATCCACTACTCGTATTCTTTTCGGCATCTTTGACTGTTGGCAAAATCAACGATGAATTTGCATCAAAAATGTACGGGCTATTTGGATGCTCCTCCCAACGTTCAATGAATGACTTTAGATTTTCTTTGGTTGACGTCAACTGTAATTCATTTTCCGGCTCATTTGCCTGCTAATAAAATGAAAATAGCATTTTCATCAAAACTCATGTTTCCTGTCATTCAAATAGATGTCATTTTAAAATTGCATGTGTTGGAATTACTCCAAATTGTGTGCGCTGCTCGTTTTTCTCAACGACACAGAGAGGAGCACACCACAAATGATTTGATTTATTCCGTACGAAGTTTTTGCTTACCTCAACTTCAATTACCGGTGATTTAATGTCACCATTTGTTATGCATTCACTTTGTGTTTCGATAATTTCCGGCTTCTTCGGATATTGCTTCAGCCATGAGTGTTCTAAGCATTGTTCAGCCGTCATCCGAACGCTGAATGTGTGTGTGTGTATGTTGTCAAAGAGAAAAGTTCATCGAGTCATATATAAATGTATTTCGCCACAAAATCTACTTAATTTTCGGGGAGCATGAAATGAAATTCACTCACCTCGGGTCTTTAACCAGCAATTTTGATATAAAATCCAATGATTCTTTGGACACCTTCTGAAATGCTTCGTCATCAAAATCGTATTTGCCGATTGTAACATTGGTCATTGTTTCAATGTCAGTTGATCCCATGAACGGTGACAAACCCGAAAGTCTATTTAAAAGTCGATCCATTTCGTCCACAACAGAATCAGAGAGAGAAAGAGAGAGAGAGAGAGAGATTGGGAACATAAAATGTTGTCCATGTTGACAAATGAGAAAATTTGTTTTGTATCAGAAAATAATAGTAGACATATTTAGCAATGATATAAACTTAATGAGGCCACTTACAGCACGTAACAAATGACTCCAACGCTCCACATATCTATAAAATACATGCGAATATCGTTAGTTTTATGTTTTGTTCTTCTTTTTTTTCCTGTGATACGTTCATTTGTGTCCTCTTTTAAATGACTAAAACAATAAGGTACCTGTGGCAAAGGAGATGATATCAAAGTTAACGACCTCCGGTGCAACAAACTCTGGTGTGCCAAAAAGAACCTGAAATTCATTATTTTGAATATGTAAATAATGGTGTTGTGGATGTGGGTGTGGATGCGCGCATGAGAAAGTATTTCATCGAAGAAAGTGAATGGACCGATTTAGTCTCACTATCTCGGCTGCTTGAAACAAATGGTCAATTAGCCGTAACAGCCGCTCATTTTGATGAAATGGTAGTGCATTTTACTTGCAACACGGCACTCTCTCACTACCTCCCTCTGTCGAATTTTATGGAATCATCTTTTTACGGAATAATTGAACCATCCATAAAGAGTATTAAATAGCTGTTGTCTAAATAAGGATATTTAGAGTGAATTGAGGATTTGACTTTTTTCGGCGACATGACATTTTGCTTTCAGCACAATGGAGATTTAAATATTCGGAATATTTACCGAAAATGATTACATTTTATTTTGCATAACTTTCTCGGTCATTTTTTTTCTCTCTCTCTCTCTCTCTCTCTCTCTCTCTCCCTCTCTTCAAATTGTGCGGCTCATGAAGAGCCCATCACCTGAAAAATGAATGATTCAACGAGCCACTTACTTGCAATTTCTTATCCGGATCATATCTGCGGGCAAGACCAAAATCGATGACTTTAATACGATTTCCGTCGCGTGTTAGACACAAAATGTTCTCCGGTTTCAAATCTAAATGTAGGATATTGTTGCTGTGTACGAATTCCATTGCCTGGCACAATTGCCGTACCAAGACCGTGCATGTCTTTTCGGTTAGCACAAATTCATCGTCAATGACACGATCAAAGAGTTCACCACCCTCGATACTGTAAACACACATAGAGAAGAAAATCTCCGTTTAATCAAATTGTTTTTGGCCCCTCGTTGATGACGTTCATTTTCTTCATTAGCTTGCTGCATCCATTCACCCGGGCACTGCATGCCAATGAAGCAAAATGTATATGTCAATCGTGTTTGTTTTGGCATGGAGGGACAAAAGAAGAATTACTCACAGCTCAAGAACCACACACATCATTTTGCTGTACTCGTACGCATCATAAAGTTGAATTATTAACGGATGCTGCAGGGAATTCATAATTTCAACTTCACGCTCCACATTTCGTCGATCATCACGCTTTGGAATCGGTACCATTTTACAAGCCAGTTTCAAACCTGTTGATTTCTCTTGGCATTTGTAGACGGTGCCAAATTTTCCTCTGGCATTTTCCAAAACGAAAACAATACACACATCACATAGAAATAAGTGCAAATATTGAATTAAGCGCAAGTGTAAATGAGGGAAAATGGAGAGGTAGAGCACCATGAGAATGAGAATTTGTTTGTTCAATTTAGTTTGTGATGTTTGATGAAAGAAAAGAAAATTTTTCGTTCAAGAAAATGAAAAAAAAAATACCCAAATGAAGTGAAACATATAATTAATTTGTTAACATGCATCCCACTGAATCGGTACTAGCGGGCGAACACATCGAAATTGTTTGACGGTCGTGTACAAATTGAACCACGTCAATTATGACAAAAAAAAACAACAAATTCAAATTGTTCGTTGCATACCCGGAAGACGGAAACATTTGAAAATGACGCACGTAATTACCTGCCGATTTCAGTGAGTAAATCATAAAATTCCTTGGCATCGACGCCTTTTTTTACGGTAACGTTGCGTGGTTCAAAGCTCGCCACGATTTCTGTGAATGAAACAAGAGAACAAGTAAAACAAAATGTTGATGATGATTGCATCAAGTTGACAATGTGCTCATTTTTCAAATAAATTCGAAATAATTTTTCCGATATGATGAAGCATGCACATGAGAAAAACGAATCCGTTGCCAAAAACTATTTGTTCTTCTATACTTCAATGTTTGAGTTATAAGCAATACACGGCGGCATATATTTGTTGAGCGTAATTAAATATGAGGCGAACGATAGACTCACCGTTGTCGGCTTTTATGTACGACACACCAAGCGAAAATCTAATTGGCATTGTGAGACAGAAGCAGAGTTTGAAATTAATTCCGTCGTGCTATGATCATCATGCAGCCACGATGATAGTTATGGGATCAAAAACCGGGCTAAATACATAATTGGTTCATCCGAATGGAAATACTCGGGCCGTATTGTGTGTCGATGTAAACAAGTCGTTTCGCATTGTTTGGTCGCAAAGACCCAGTTATTATATTCGGATGGTCCGGAGCACTTTCACGTTCATGCATATGACAAGTTGCATTAGATATTATGAATTTGCAATTACCCATTTTACACGGGCCACCATACACCATCACACACCAATTGTATACACATCGCATTGAATATCTTGCAGGCAGTTGGCGAGCCTTGAGCTCTCGCTTTCGCTTCTAATTCCACTTTTGAAGCTACTGGCGCTGAGTTTTGTACATGTGAGCGACTTTCGCTGACAACATTTCAGTCGGGTGGTGCGTTTTGTGTTGTTTGCTGTTTGCACTTTGCATTACAACAACAACTGAGTGTGCATGAGTGAGCGTGTGTGTCTGTGTGTATGTGTGGCAAAGGTTTTTATTATTCAAATTTCTCCTATAAATTCTATTAAATGCCTGCAATATCCCCCAAAGCACAAATCTCATGAATATATTACAAGCGCTTACCACCGCGCTATTACTTTCCACTGTACACAAACAAATACGCACACACACACACACACACACTCTGAACTCAGCTACGGCAGTGACTTTATAAGCCACTCGTACACAAATACACACACACATAGAGCCATGAGTAAGATATTTGATACTAACTCCAAATCCATCCACATTGTTATCATTCAAAAATGTATTAACATAACTCATAACGGCGGCAGCAACCGTGAAAAATGCCAAAGGAAATCGGCTTTGCTTTTGCCTCTTCGTCTCGCACTCTCTCTCTCTCTCTCTCTCTCTCTCTTTCTCCCTCTTCCTCTCCCTTGGGCATTCACTTTGGTCGGAATGAATCGCGAACGCGACACTTGACCGCATTTCACTCGACTACTTTCTTTCTATGGCTTTGCGTAAAGCATATTATTTCATGTTTTAACATCTAACAACACAAACAAGCTTAACGCAACTTGGGCTAAAAGAAGCGAACACAAAACAAAATGAGGTAAAACTAGAGAGTAAATATTGGAAAAATGCATGAAAACGCAAACATGGCTGAAGACGACGACAACGACAACGACGACGACAGCGATGACGTTCACAATGGACGGAGATATGTTTTCATCCACCAAAGAAAGCATTAGAATGATTTACGGATGAGAATGTCTAAACATCAAAAACTATATCCACTTTTTTTCTGTATGATCTTCTTATCTCTTGATGTAGTACAATTTTGATTCTCAATTTGAGACTTTATTTCCATGTTTATCGCTCCCCAAAAACACACACACAAAGTGATTTTGATTCATCATCACCAAAGCGAGGATTTATGCGAAAAATCTCTATATTCTTGCCGAGTCTTTTGAACGACAAAATGCTTTGTATTCAAATTCAATTTTTCCCACTTTACTCACCGGGATACAACAAAAAGATCTCTCACTTCCAGGGAGATATGCGTCGGTTTTGACTGCTTTTTGCTGTTTTTTGTCGGTGCACACAACACTTTTTCTCCCATGATTGTAATTGTAGAGCTTGAATTTTACATTTCACAAGAACGGACAAACAATAGTGACAGACAAAAAGACACATTCAATTTTTTGTCGCTTTGTTTGGTGTAGCCACCAGTATACCATATCCATAATAAACGTATCACTTATTTTCACACAAATAAAAATTTGCATAAAATAATAACCATCGAAAAATGTTAAAATAATTTAAATGTCTTTCTGTGTTTTATGAGGCGCTGGGTGGCATAAATTATGGATCGGCCACTTGAGAGACGAAAAAAAAACATACACATTTTCCGCTGAGTATGTGTACGCTACACATTCAATTGTTCCATGAGGCAAGACAGACCACGGTTTTTCTTCTACTTTTTTCGGCAACGGCATGAGAGTCTCGCTCATTCAGCGCAAAGTGAGCGTTTCCTTTAAAACTCAATGGAATATTCATATATAAATATATATTTTTCAAAAGAAACAATCCAAATGAATTGCACAGCATTAGTGTGGCGGCAACAATTCGGGCCGGGATTATAGTTGAAACATCGAGAAAAATTTGAAAGTTTTCAAAAAAAGGCCTAGCGGTCGAGTACCGTCTTTGATGTGTCGCACGAATTTTTATTCTGTTTCGATAGACGAGCAAAGAGAACAAATGAGGCACTGGGAATGAAAGGAAGGGACGCAAGTAGAAGAAGAAGAAAAAACTAATCCCGTTTTATTTTGTTTGTTGAATATAACCGAAACAGTGCTCAAATTCAAATAAAAGCGAGAAAATGTTTTTGTTAACTAAACGACCAGAATAAAAATTTATGTAAATAACGGTGTGTGTGCTTGAGGGGCAACGCGAGAGATTGAACGCTCTTTGTAGCGCGGACTCTAAACCGAAAAGGGAAACAAGAATCAAACAAAAGGAAACAAGCACACACAGAAAAAAAAAATGATAAGCAGCATTTTGCGTACCATTGAATGGATGAATATAGAGCAACAGCAACAACAACGAGAAACTAGAATCGGATGCGCGCTCTGTGCACATTGTGTGGACAAGTAGAGAGCTAGAGTGGGAGAAAGAGAGTGAGCGCCGCACATGATGATTCAGTTAGTATTGTGATCGTTTTTATACCTCCATTACCGTTACGGTAACCATTGCCGATAAACAAATGATTATATTTTTGACTGGTGCCGAAAATGGTGTGTGCGAAACTTTTGCAACATTGGGTGCGTGCAGGCGAGCAGACAACAACAGAAAGAATGTGGGTGTGGGTGTGGATGAAAAGAAAGAAAAAACTAAACAAAATGTAATAAGCGAGAAAAAAGGTCGGACGAGGTATTAACTTACTACCTGGCACTCACTTTTATGTTGTCAACTTATTCGCAAACTTGTTCAATGCTCATCTTTATTCCACTCCATATATTGCATTTGGTACAATGTGCCAAAAGCACACACACATACACTCTTCCATATCGCACACTTGTGGTAATAACATTGAGAATGGCAATCCAACAGAATTGGGGGATGCGCGCGGAGAGGTGGGTTGAGATGGATGGGAGCAATGATTGTGAGCGCAAACGGCAAACGGTGACGATGAATCGAGGCAAAACCTTTTCGCCATTGCGTTGTTAAAAGCAAATCATGGCAAAAGTTCTCAAGCAAGAAGGTATTGCTCCAAGCCAGAGAATTTACTCTCTATAGCAGAGAGAGAGAGAAAGAGGAAAAAAAACGAAGAGATATGTGCTTTCACCTCTTTCACCCACTCAATCGCTCGTTACATGCGATGAAAAGTGACGATATGATAAAAGACGAAAGTAAGGCGCAAAAGGAAATTCCGTGAAGTCAATTGACTTTAGATGAAGGAAAAGAATAACCTTCATTATCGATGAATGGTGCCTGCATTCTCATTCCACACCACGGGAATATCGAATTCGATTTGCTACTAGATTTCTCGCACTTTTTTCTCTGCGAACAACAACATTCAAACTCAGTCGTTTCACCACTCAAGCGATGAATGCGTTGCACTGCACGACAACACAACAGCACCCAAGTATTTAAGTATTTTGGCATTCAGTTCATCGATAATGGCCGAAATATTGGATGTCTAGCAATTTTACTAACCGTTTAACTCGTTCAATGTATAGAGTTTGGTGCGGCAAGTGGCTGGCACACCGATACAATTGAAGACAAAAACTTTGTGACCGGGAACGCAATAGCGGCAGCAGTAACAGCATCAAGTAAGAAAACGACGAACAATCGATTCAACAGTGAAATCAAAGGAATTGAATTACATGCACCATCGCCTTTTCTAAAATGCGCTTTTTTTGCTCGCTCCCCTTTTTCTTCCCTCATTCTGTCGCCCAATAATCGCATTCGATCAACGCTCCTCGGCAAAAGTTTTCTCGCCGTTTCGGCTGGCGAAAACGCATAAAAATAAATGCGAATAATTGGACAAAAAAAAAACGGAAGCAACAATCGTTTCGATTCATTCACTTTGTGTATGTGCCGCACACACGGGTGCCCTACACGTAAACCAGAACCATCTTCATTCGCCCAAAATGTGATGAATACACATTAAGCTGTGCTCGAATAGCGCGACATTAAAAACTTTTTCGGTGTTTATTGTTAGCACGTTGTTGTTTTCGTTCACACGGCTCACGTTTATGATGCCATTGATTTGATGCCCTGTGTATTTGCCACCTTTTGCATACGCATACACACTGTTTCACATCCACCCACACATACACACAATGGAAACGCTACTTGAGCAATAATCATGTCGTTTTCTTTTATAACAAAGTACATTGCGTAATTCGTGTAGTTTAGAAAGTTTTCGCCTTTGAATTTTCAAAGTGAGAGTGGGGTAAGTGTGAGGGAATGAAGTTGACGTCGCGAGCCAAGCACTCTCGACACATGCACACACAAACTCTTGCAACAATATAGAGCCATCGAGAAGAAGGAATATCAAAACGACATCTAATGCAAAAGAAACAAGTTTTAAAGCCTTTTGCCATTCTTCAACACATGAAGCGAAAACCGTTCGTTTCAGCCTTTCGTCTTCGTTTGAATTGCAGAGAAGTTGGCTTGTGTTTGGTGTTTTCGCGAGAGAGCCGTACCGCTTCAATGGCAGCATACACAACAAGTTGTTAAAAATTTTGATTTGCAACACACCAGAGAGAAGGCAAAAGTTTCCGTAAGATGCCTTCATTAAGAGGCATGAATACGAAAAACGGCAAGGACGAACACAAGAAAAAGTAGAGAAGAAAAAAAAAACAAAGTATAAAACATTCTGGGTGCATCGCATTGTATACCTGGAATACTTTGTCCAATTTAAATATCGCGCTTGTTAGGGAAACAACTTCCAAATGTCTCCCCGTTCACTTGCACACGGCACATTCACTCATACGTATTTCGAACTGTGAAATCGACAAATCGTCTTCTGTTTGAACAAAATGTTTCATTATTATTACGACAAATAATAAAAACAACAACAACAAAGACCAAATCGTCGTCGAGTAGAGATGGGAAGGAGAGATGTACACCAAGATATGATCATTCAAAATACAAATAATTTCCTTGGCCGCGTACACACATTTTCAGGCGGCTAACAATTTGACCTTCATTTCATGCCATTTTATTTCAAATGAATTATAATCGCTTCTCTCTTGGTCGTGCGCACCCGCGCCCGCGGCGTGTGTTAGCGCGACAGAGAATATAAACGTGACAATGACATTCGTATTGAATTCGATTCCGTTGGGAATTTTATGGCACAAAACAAAATACCGTTGAATTAAAAAAAAAAAACAACCGAAAGAAATACGACGTGAATCAAATGAGTGTGATATAAAACAATGTTCTTTTTGGCTTGAACGCCTACATTCACTTGGACTTTCTGGCTCTCTCTCGCTCTCCCACTAACACACTCGGCGTTCGGAATTTGTTGAGTGACGGTGAAATATTTGCGCTGTGCATCGTTGTGCCTTGCGTTATCTCATTTCTGATGTGGTCGAACGTGTTGAACACCATGTAAAAAAAACACGCGACCGAATGCGTGCGCCATTCGGATGTCCGCCCAATATCATCTCGCTCAATCTTGCCTCGCGTTACTTCCAATGTGACAATGAACCTTTCGACTGAAGGAGATAGAGAGAGAGAGAGTGAATGAAAAAAAAACAACCAAACGATGATCTCAGTTCAACAGTGTCTCGTCAAACACGTTTTAATCCGCTCATTACGACAAACACGCATAGTTTTGATTCTAATTTAAAACTATGTCTTAAGTTAGTTTTCTTAACTTTTCTATATCGGTTGCAATATAGGAGAGAAAGAGAGAGATCAAATGCCACATCTATCACGTCTCACCAGAATACTTGGCGCTCTGGGCTGGAATTCTAAGTCATTCCACCAAAATCGTTCGGAATTATTTTTTTTCGTACATAAGACCATATTGGAGTGAAAGAGAGAGATTCCAGTATTTTTCAGCGTCCCACCGGAATTATTTCTCACACAATCCACTCCTCCTTGAGTTATCGGAATAATTCCGGTGGGAAGCTGAAAAATAGTGGAATCTCTCTCTCTCTCTTTCACTCCAATATGGTCTTATGTACGAAAAAAATAATTCCGAACGATTTTGGTGGAATGACTTAGAATTCCAGCCCTGGTCGTCTTGTAATACGAGCTATTTTCGAAAAAGGTGTTAAATGCACACTTATAACATTGCTCACTTGGTTTTCGTTTCGGGATTAACCTTTCGCTGTCATTATGTGAGATTTGAAATTGTCGAATATTTGTCTTCGTCGTTGTCGTGGACAACGTTGTCTCTACAAACGATGACGACTTGGTTGGTCTATAAAATTTCAGCTTTTCTACTCAATTTTCGTTAGTTTTCGTTTATGTGCATGGGAAACTTAATCCTGTAGGAGCAAAAAAAAACACAAACTTACCGCCCACTGGATCCGATTCGTCGACGATTATCATGTTTTTTTTCTGTTTTGATGATCGACTTTTCGATGGAAAAACTTTTACACCTTCCTCTCTGTGAGCGCGCGCGCGCTCTCTCTCTCTCTCTTTCGTTCGAAACTTTTTTTCTCTGACTCACGCGATGCGATCAAAATTTTGTTGTTGTGTCACCCGTTTGTCCTTGTTGTCTGTATACTGGTACGATGTCTGCATCAGCCGTGGTAAAATGTCGATAAAACACGGCGTCCCGTAATATTGTTGCTTTTAATTATTTTTATGTCATCAACCACTCCACTCACTTTCGAAGCTTTGTTTTTTTCTATGTTGAATATGCCCGTTCACTTAGTCTCTCTCGTCTTCTTCTTTACTACACCTGAAACAGACCACGAATTATGCTCATAAACGCTTGTCCATTCACTCTCAACTTTATAACATTAACAGAACGAAAAAAGAAACCGACAAATTGACGATTTTTGCCCGAAAAAATTTTTCCACTCGAAAAACTTTGATGAAAGACAATATAATGTGGTTCTTTTTTTCACCCTTGAATGAAACTTATTCAGATTTGATTCGATACAAGTGAATCCGTGCACTGCACTCCACTGTACAGACAGTGTGAATTCAATTCTGGGTGGCAATTCACTGGCCGTGGATTTTTCTCGGCAAGGCAGACGATGACGACGTTTTTGTTACAATTTCGCTTTAATTGAATGTTCACGAATATTAACCTGTTCATGAATAAAGTTGAACGAGACAATATCAGAAAAACGTGAAAGAAAAATAGTGCCTGAAAATGAATTTGATTGTCTTTAAAAAGTCCTGAAAGTTTTGTATCCATGAATAAGGTTATTATAAAACGGCAGATTCTTATGGAATTATTTGTAGAAAAGGAATGTAGAAAAGCGGGAAAAAAGGTGAAGAGAAAAGTATGAGGAGAAAAATTTCAAAAGGAAAAGAGCAAGAAGAGTATTCTTGAAAAATAATCTAAAACATTAAAATATTCTGATAATTTTCATGGATTTTCATAACAAGCGCACAAATGACAGAAGAAGAACAGAAAAAAAACATTCGCCGACTATTAATTACTTTTTAAACGAAAATGAAGAGAGAGAGAGAGAGAGAGAGAGAGAGAGAAAAAAAAATGCGCACATTTGATTTCGAACAATTTGCTGCAATTCAGTGTGGATAGAAAAAAAAAGTTGCATCAATTTCGAGCTTAAACTCTTTTTTTTCGGCAACGTCATAATTGTTGAAGACGTTCGAAACGAAATTTCTCCACGTAGTTGATGCTCAATTTCGTATTCCATGAGACTCTTCTGGAAGAAGAGAATACGTTTCGCGTTCGGCACGCGTAAACAGTGAAAAGAAAAGCGTCGGCAGATAAAAGAAATAGTAGAAAAAAATCGCGTTAAAAAATGAGATATATTCATAAAATAGAGAGTGAAAGCGCGCCACACTAGAACAAAGAGCGGAAAGCAAAATAGCATAAACGGCAATAATAAAAATAAAATGGATCAATTTTTTTTTCTCTGCTGCATGAGACAGCGACGAAAGAGCACACGAAGAGCTGCGCTGAAACACCGAGAGAATCAGAGGGGAAGAGTGAAGGAGAGATAGTATGAGTGCGAAAAAGTGAGAGAACAAAGACATTTGAGGTAGATGATGTTGTGTAGATCTGCGTCGCACAATGTCGGTGCTGATGTGATATTTTGATTAAATTTTAAACCGAAATAAGTTTTCATACAAATTCTTATTATCTCTCTCTTTCTCTACCTCTTCCATTCTATCTGCATATCATCTCGTTGGAAGTGTGCATAAAACAAATGGCGAAATTTCGTCTTTTTCATTTGAGGTTGATTGCTTGCAAATTTTTTTTCCCTCAGTTCTGTTCATTTTGTGTTTCGCAAGGGTTTCCGCATAGTGTCTCGTCTGGTTTTTTTTGTTTGGTATGAGGTACTTTTCCAAAAGGTTTCACTCCGTTTTTTTCGATTCTTTTTTTGCTACGCATTTAATTATTCAGCAGAAGAGTATCGTTTTAATCAATCGCAGAGGGATCAATTTTCTCACGATGCCAAAGCTTGAAAATCACGTCGCTCTCTGCTGTGCTTTTAAGTTATGGGCCATTTGGCGATCGCTTAAAATCGAGAGAACGAGACACCAAAACAAAGAGTTAAATCGAGCCAGCGAACGAATGAACATGAGCCGGATTGAGATATTGTGTGTGAGCGAAAGAAAGAGAGTAAGAGAAAAGGAGTCAGAAAGAGAGAGTGAGAAAGAGAGAGAGAGAGAGAAACAAAAGGAGAGACACAATGTTCATGGCGTACATTTGCCCACTCTCGCCATGAGAAGGTCACACTCACACATGAAGCACACTGAAAATCACACATGAAGCACACTGAAAATGGCTCAAAACAACGAAAATATATCAAATTTAATTGGATTTTCCCAAACCATCAAGAGCTTCCAATTGTTTTTTTTTGTTAAAAATAGCGTGCAAACATTTACGTTCGATTGTAGCGCTGCGCTTAAGTAAGACATTGTTGTTGTGCACTTGGAATTTAGATTCCCAATTGTTTTTGCGGTTCAAACATATACACTCACCCGTGAAAAGTAGCAAAAAGCGCACATAATTGCTTTAGAACGAGCGACAACTTTTTACGGTAATTAAATAAATGCATAAGTTTGAATCGCATTTGCTTGCTGGTGTGTGGGCATTGAAATGGGCGGAAAAAACACACACATACATCATACCACACACGAAACACCAAATGGCGAACGAACGAACGAAAAACAAAATCGATGATATATTCGAGTGATGTTTATATTAAATTTAAAATGGGCGCAAAAAGATTTGCAGCTGAGTGTGTGTAGGGAAAAAAGCAGATCGAGAGCGAGAAAAGAAGAGAGAGAGAGAGAGAGAGAGAGAGAGAGAGAGAGAGAGAGAG